TTGGAACTCGAGGCAGAAAATGAGTTTTGTATACTTTTCCATTGTTTATGACATCGTTGTAAGAAGAATTGTTATTTATCACCATGTCACAATATCACCCCGATGATGATGATCATGATGAGCTTCAGCTTCACATGTCAGAGCCAAGCTTTTGCAATATAATTGACCATACAAGATTGAACCAAGGGAACATACTGTCAGCCTTGACGTCGCGAACGTCAACCCCTTCAGCCAAGGGAAGCTAGATCCTGGACATTGACTATGAAAGTACTCATCATGGTCTCGCATACAGTAATCGCAGATCTGTGCTTTCCCGTCTTTATCTCTCTAATGCTATGGACGCTATCCCGGCTTTTCATCAATCGGTTGCACAGACCTAGGATAGCCTCATCGCCCATCGTGACAACCAACTCAGGACTGCAAGATTTTCCTATTCCTCTTTCGCTCCATAGTCCTTGTCAAACTACCCAATGTTATAATATCTTTTACAGCTGAAGCACCCTCGATGTTTACTTTCAGAGCTTTGATCAATGCTCGCGTCTGCGTCCACGGGAAACAAAATTTGCAGGACTCTTATATGGATTTGGGGTAAACAGACGCTAGTCTCATGCAAAACTCTGCAGAGTTGTCTCTAGGATCAGTCTATGGCGACGAGGAAGCTCCCTCTGCATTGAAGATGGTCATATTAGCTCCGGAAACGCAGCATCCTCTTCGAGATCTTGTTCAGCGTGGCACCATCGTTTCCATTGGACATATCACTACAGACTACGACACTGGCACGAGCGCTCTCGGATCCGGCGCAAAGAGGACAACGCATATCTTCAACGCAATGAATCCATTCGATCTCCTAGCATCACAGGCCTGATCTCGTCCGAAGGAGCCTACTCACCAATCATCACCGACGGCATTGATCTTTACCCTGCGACTGCCACATCGGCTTTCGCCCAGACCAGAGTAATTGCATCTTGAACAGTGATGCTATTGAGATGGCAGGATTGCGCGACGGAGTAAACGTAGGGCATGCGCAAAACCTCTATGCTCAAAACAAAGTGAGATTCATGGTCACGATCGATGGCACGGACACATTGATTGGTTATTGCAGCAGCGTTGCCGAGTGCGTCAAAAATGTCAAAGCATGGAGTGGATGTTCCTTCACAGATGCAGTCCGTTACACATTCCAGAACATTGCCAGTCTTATGGAGGACGAAGACAGGTCTAAATGAAATGGGCCGGAAGGCTGCCCTTGTGGTGTTGAGTGATTGGGGAGAGGTGCAAGAAATTTGGTTGATGGGTATGGAGCTGTATGAGGACGGACATATACATATAGCTAGTCGCGGCAGAAGTACGTAGGCGGTAGGCGGAAAACGCGTAGACGGAGGTTAGGAGTTTAGAATTCGATGTAGGGAGGTTGGGTTCAGTGGAGCGGAAAATCTGGGCTACCCAGTACCTGCAGCAGGAAGTCATGTACCATTTCCATAGTCAAAAACATCATTCGTATATCCACAGGTGGTGCAGGTAAGATTAATGAAAGACATTGTGGACGAACGAAGTTTCCCCGCGGTAGATAGTAGCCCTATTCTGCGGGGTCTGTCCGAGATCCCGTTTCTCCGGACTTAATCAATACCAATAACACCTCCAAATCCATGTGCTCCCATTGCTCCGATCTCATGATGCTTCCCTTACTGCTGCAGCTGCAAAATTGAAGGTTCCCGACTAACAATAACAGGAATACCCAGTCATTTGCATTGTATATCTCTCTTTCTCACACACCCATCATATTTTCTGAGTCCATTGCTCGAACTATTCGCAAACCCATAGCGAACTCCAGCCATGAGCGAAGGAGACGTTCAACCGCCTGGTGCGCCCATGGTCGTTGCAGAGGCGAAAGACACTGGTAAATGAAGAAAGCGTTTGGATGAAGAACCTCTGCTGACCATGGAGCCCAGATACATACCATGTCCCTAAGCAGATGTTTGAGTGAGTTCAAACGAGACCCAAACCCTCTCCTTGCGATCGTTGACCCCCAGCAGTAAGCACCCAGCTAAGCCCCACCTGAGCGGCATGGAAGAATACCAGAAGATGTACAAAGAGTCCATCGAGGAGCCAAAGAAGTTCTGGGGGAAGATGGCAAGGGATCTCCTCACGTGGGACAGAGACTTTCAGACTGTTCATTCCGGGTCTTTTACCCATGGTGACAACGCTTGGTTCCTCGAGGGCAGGCTCAATGCCTCGTACAATTGTGTCGATCGTCATGCCTTCAAGCATCCCAATAAGCCAGCCATCATATACGAAGCAGACGAGCCAAACGAAGGTCGCACAATATCATACGGGGAGCTGCTCCGGGAAGTCTCACAGCTTGCCTATGTCTTGAAGCAGATGGGCGTGAAGAAGGGAGACACAGTCGCCCTTTACTTGCCCATGGTGCCTGAAGCCTTGATATCTTTTCTTGCCTGTAGCCGTATTGGTGCTGTTCATTCGGTCGTCTTCGCGGGCTTCTCTTCGGATTCTCTCAGAGATCGGGTGATTGATGCCAATTCCAGGGTTGTCATCACTAGTGATGAGGGCAAGAGAGGCGGCAAAATAATTGGCACTAAGAAAATAGTTGATGATGCATTGAAGCAATGCCCCAACGTCACACATTGCTTAGTGTTCAAACGCACGGGCGCCGATCTATCCAAGAATTGGACCAGCGGGCGAGACTTCTGGTGGCATGAGGAAACGGAGAAGTATCCAAATTACATCGCTCCCGAGCCTATGAACTCGGAAGACCCGCTCTTCCTCCTATACACTTCGGGATCAACGGGCAAGCCGAAGGGTGTCATGCATACCACAGCCGGCTACTTGCTAGGCGCAGCAGCGACTGGCAAGTATGTTTTCGATATCCACGACAACGACAAGTTCTTCTGTGGTGGTGATGTTGGCTGGATCACTGGACATACGTACGTCGTATACGCGCCTCTTCTCCTTGGTGTTGCTACTGTTGTCTTCGAAGGCACTCCGGCATATCCCAATTTCTCGCGATATTGGGAGGTAATCGACAAGCACCAGGTTACTCAATTCTACGTAGCCCCAACAGCTCTGAGATTATTGAAACGAGCCGGCGATTCTCACGCCAAGCATCCAATGAAGCATCTTCGAGTTTTGGGATCGGTTGGCGAGCCCATCGCAGCCGAAGTCTGGAAGTGGTACTTTGAGATTGTTGGGAAGGAGGAGGCTCATATTGTCGATGTGAGTAAAGCATGCGCATAGCAATCTGTAACAGCTGATGAGACGGTAGACATACTGGCAAACGGAGACTGGATCCCACGTGATTACACCCTTGGGTGGTGTCACCCCGACTAAACCTGGAAGCGCATCATTACCTTTCTTTGGTATCGAGCCCGCGATTATTGATCCAGTCTCTGGGGAAGAAATACATGGCAACGACGTAGAGGGTGTTCTGGCTATCAAAAAGCCATGGCCTAGCATGGCTCGAACCGTCTGGGGTGCTCATAAGCGATACATGGATACATATCTTAACGTATACAAGGGCTACTACGTGAGTCAGCTGTGTATTCCTCGTTGTTATTCGGCTTACATGTTGCAGTTCACTGGTGACGGCGCTGGCCGAGATCATGAAGGCTACTACTGGATCCGAGGCCGCGTGGACGATGTGGTCAACGTCTCTGGGCACAGACTCTCAACAGCGGAGATCGAGGCAGCTCTCATCGAGCATCGTGAGTGAAAACGATTGTCTTGCACAGAGACAGAAGCTAACTTTGGGTAGACCAAGTTGCAGAAGCGGCAGTCGTGGGCATTCACGACGAGCTCTCAGGCCAAGCTGTCAATGCCTTCGTCTCCCTCAAAGAAGGCAACGAAAGCAACGATCAGGTTAAGAAAGATTTGGTGCTTCAAGTTCGGAAGTCCATTGGTCCTTTTGCTGCTCCGAAAGCAGTATTCGTCGTTGATGATCTTCCTAAGACGAGGTCGGGTAAGATCATGAGGCGCATCTTGCGTAAGATTCTAGCCGGAGAGGAGGATTCATTGGGGGATACCTCTACTGTGAGTGTCTAGATGCAGCTTCTTCCCGCGCTCATCATGCTGACTCTCTGGCCCTAGCTCTCGGACCCAAGTGTGGTCGACAAGATCATCGAGATAGTCCAGGCATCACGGAAGAAGTAGAAAGCTGCTTTGGGATCATTGCATAGTGTCTTAAGGAGTAGGGTATTGAGCGTTGCTTCCTACATTGAGCGTTGATAGCCAAGCAAAAATTTTACGCCAGTAGATATGAACCGAGAAGCAGGTCTTTAACCAGTACAATAGCCTAAGATAATTGAAAGAAAATATGGGAAACTGCGGCCAGGTTCCAACTCTTAGAAATGAAGATGATATTCGTGGATGCGAATGCATTTGCATACATGTCTGTGACTCTGTGTCGCTGGCTGGTGTAGTGGTGGTGAAGTATCAACGGAGTACAAAACAATACTGTAGCAGTGTAGCTCACATTTACTTTAGGTCGCATCCAGGAGCCCCCTGTCAGACCCCTGGACGTTCGTCACCTTCCGTAAATAGACACACTCCAGTTACCGCGGGTACCGATTTTGGCTGCCAGACGCCAATAGACCCTCCCCGAGTCCCCTCATTGTCGTGCTCTTGACGAAACCGCCACTTCCCCTGTTCCATTGCTTCACCTCATCTGGCCAAAGTTTCGAAGTTGATTCGCTGTTGTCAAAGAGTACAAGCCATTCATTTGGTCTTCTGTCGCAGTGCCTCGGCTTGGTGCGGAGTGCATGCGATCTCTCGGATCCTTGGGGCCACCAGGGCTGACTCTTCCTCTAAGCCTTATGAAATAGAAATTCCTCACGAAATTGAAGCTTGCGTTGCCATCAACACCCACCTATTCTTCTAGAAACCTTTTGAGAGATCTGCTTTAGTCGCCTGCAAATTTGACTTGACTGTCGGTCTCCTGGATCAACTTTCAAGCACAGTCTTTGGCTGTTGCTACTTCTTCTGGACAGATTATGAAGGTGCCGTGCCGAATAGGCACAGTCGTCAGCACGATATGCCTTCTATTTGCCTCTGTCCAAAGTACGAACTCTTCTACTGTGAGATACAGACTGTAAGCTAATGGCTTGCTGCAGCACATTCCCTGAGCAGAAAACCTCTAAACTACTTGACCCTCGTCGAGAACGCTGAAATTGGCACGCCTTCGTCCCGGGTACATGCTTACTCACACTTCGACCTCTTCTTCGACCTTCACCAGGAAAGGCAGCAGGTGAAGCTTACTCTGGAACCGAACCATGATATAATTGCAAAAGGAGCGTCGGTGCAGTATCTAGGACAGGACGGCGAATTAGTACGCACAGAGGAGATCGATCGACGAGCGCACAAAGTTTTCAAGGGAGATGCATGGACCCAGGATTATGATGGGAGATGGACGAAGATAGGTTGGGCCAGAATAGTCATTCGGAGAGATGGAACCGACCCGTTGTTTGAAGGCGCATTTACAATCATGCACGACCATCACCACATCCAATTACGATCCAATTACATCTCTACAAAGCACGCATTGGACCCTGAGGTGGAATTAACTGACGACGAGTACATGGTCATATTCCGGGATTCAGACATCGACAAGAGACCATTGAACGGGCACACAGAGCTACGGAGGTCTGGCGAAATTCAAGGTTCCTGCAGATCTCATGAACTACACTTCAACTCCGACCCCCAGCAAACCGTGCTGAAACGCAGCGTTGGATCTTGGGGCGCTGCACCGATCATTTCACTATTCGGGAAGCGACAAATTGATACTGGCGGTATCCCTGCTGGGGGTAACTCTGGAAGTGTCAATCTGAAAAGCACTATCGGTAATTCAGCTGGTTGTCCTACAACACGAAAAGTGGCTTTGATTGGTGTAGCTACCGATTGCACCTACACTGGGTCGTTCAACTCATCCGAAACTGCACACTCTAATGTGATCACTCAGATCAACTCAGCTTCGAATGTGTACGAGAGTACTTTCAATATCTCATTGGGGCTCCAGAATCTCACTGTCAGCGACGCGACATGCCCTGGCACCCCAGCGGCTGCTACGCCATGGAACACTGGCTGCGGAGGCAATACGTCTATCACAGATCGGCTCAATACGTTTTCGCAATGGCGAGGTGACAACCCGGATAGCAATGCTTATTGGACCCTTTTGACTACTTGTCAAACTGGTGCTGAGGTCGGTTTATCATGGCTTGGCCAACTCTGCGTGAACGATGTAACGAACAGCTCGGGAGAAGTCGTCAGTGGTGCCAATGTGGTGGCAAAGACTTCCACAGAATGGCAAGTCATTGCCCACGAATCCGGTCACACCTTTGGAGCCGTCCATGACTGCGATTCGCAGACCTGTGCATCAAGCGAGACTGTCAACTCCCAGCAATGCTGCCCTCTCAGCACCACTACCTGCGATGCGGGGTCCAAGTACATCATGAATCCTTATGAGGTGGATGGCATATCGGCATTCAGCGCCTGCACTGTCGGTAATATCTGCTCTGCCCTTGGCCGCAATAGTGTTTCGAGTTCCTGCCTATCCGACAATAAAGGTGTTACAACGATCAGCGGCCAACAATGCGGCAACGGCATTGTCGAAGAGGGCGAAGACTGCGATTGCGGGGGCACCGCGAATTGTGGTAGCAACGCCTGCTGCGACGCCACGACCTGTAAATTCAAGGATGGCGCTGTCTGCGATCCCTCAAACGAGGACTGCTGCACTAATTGCCAACTCTCCAGCGCCGGTACAGTATGCAGAGCCAGTACCGGCCAGTGCGACCCGCAGGAGACCTGTAGTGGCACCAACGCGACCTGTCCCCCCGATGCCTCTGCGCCCAATGGACAGAGCTGCGGAAACAGCTCTCAAAGCCTCCAATGCGCAAGCGGACAATGTACATCAAGGGATCAGCAGTGCAAGACATTGATGGGTTCGTACACGACGAAGAATGACACTTACGCTTGTGACAGCCAAGACTGCACGCTGTCGTGTGCTTCCCCTGAGTTCGGTCCAGGTGTTTGTTACAGTATGCAGCAGAACTTCCTTGACGGTACTGTGTGCGGTGGTGGTGGGAAGTGCAATAACGTAAGTAAAATCCCGCTTTTCGCTCATCTGAGCTTCCATTACTGACTTTCAATAGGGTCAATGCAAAGGTTCAACCGCTGCCAAAGAAATCGGTAGCTGGATTCATGACAATCGTAACCTCGTCATTGGAATATGCTGTGGCATTGGCGGACTTCTGCTGCTTTCCATCCTTAGCTGCATTGTACGACGATGCAGACGCCCTCGGCAGCCGCGTCGAACCCAGCCAATGATGCCACCCATGAACCAAGGGTGGGGGGGCCCTATGCCGCAGGGTGCATGGATGAGTGGCGCGCAGCAAGGACAAGGACGTGGTGGCAGTGGCCATGGGTATGGAGGCTACAAAGGTGGTCCGCAGTATCCACCGCTTGGATATGTGCAGCCTAGTGTGCGATATGCTTAAATTGTTCGACATGGGAAGGGCTTGGGGCTTGCATTTGCATTTGCATTTGCATCTGCATTGAACGGCGTTGAATGATGTGACTCGTGAGCCGAGAGTCATTGGGAGCAAAGACATGAAAGATGACTTGGATGATTAAAGAAGGCAGGAGAGGCATAGCGATCGCTCTAGTAGATTCAATCTTCATACCTACTCTATCTACACAGCTTATGTATTACCATCTCTCCATGTCGAGAATGCAGATTTGCTCCGATCCATGCGGGACCCTTTCCCCTCCGACTGCCATACTTGGATGCCATCAACCCTGAGTGTACCTACATACCTTGGCCATTTAATTCATTGAGGGTTCACTGGGAGCCATGTGAAAAGAGCAGTCAAGGTGCAAAGTGGTTCTGGGGAGTATTTGAGAAGTGGGGGGGATATACGGCTAGAGGCAAGGGGTGTGCGCGGAGCCTTTCCCCTTGTTATTATTGTCGAGGGATCGTGCATCTGAGCAGTGGTCTGAGCGGCTTCCCAAATCAAGCGCTTATAACATCACCCCACGGAAATGCTGTCAGGGTAATGAAGGAGATGGGAGAAGCGAGAACATTTTAATCTTTAAGGTTGAATGCGCAACTGGTTTTACATGTCATAGGCCATACGGTTGGTGGTGATAGTAGTAGTACTGTAGTACATAGTGGTAAAGAGATCAGGGCCCCCGTCGCAGAAGAGTCTCGGTTGAGGGAGGCTAGACGCAGCCTGCGATCCGCTTTGGTGACAAGCGACGATCTTGGCTCGGAAACAAAGCAGCACATTTACTTTTCCATGAATGCGCCTATAAGTCACGGTCTCTGTCCTTTAGTGTGGTAGTTGAAAGGTAGTAAGGTAAGTGATAATAAATGTAGTCAGCACTCAAAATAAAAAAGATCGGAGCCAGCTGCCTTACTAGGCGATGCGTTGGAGATCTACAAGGGTATGTGGATGCGGTTCGTGAATTCCCTCTCATGTCAGCCTCACCACACTCTTTTGCGAAAGGATTAGAGATGGGATGAGAGGCTCTGCTCTCTCTTCTTCCTTCCTCCTTCTCTCTCTCTCTCTTACTTTCTTTCTTTCTTTCTTCCTTACTTTCTTTCTCTATCCTGGGGTGAAGTGATGATGAGTACTCGTGTAGATAAAATTAAGCTCAGTAAAGGCGTGGGCTGGATGAAATCGCATAAAAAAGGTAAAGTAGGCTCATAAAGTACAAGGAGCTAAAGTAAGATCCCGGCTGTTGGTGGGTCTTGGCGCTAAAGCCACCACGAGTGCGGGAGTTTAGTCCTTTCCAAATCACAAGGGAGCTAGTGAGATAGGTGTGCGACATACGATGCGCCGCCCCACGACATTGAACGGCTCCAGGATATCCCTTTCCCTTTTCCCTTTCCCTTTCCTCCCTTTACCCTCGTTACTACTACTTGATTTTATTCATTTGCATTTTACATGTGCATTTGCATTTGCGAATTATGATATTATTCCCACTAACACCTTCTCCGTAAAAACACCAATATCTGCCTTATTATTTACTATATTTGCTCCTCCATATTTTTAAGGTTCGGTACGTCTTGGAAGCATTCGACCCAGCCAGGGGGAATTGGTGACCGCTCCGCCGCAGACCCTCTCACCTCTCACCTCTCACCTCTCACCTCTCACTTCTTTCAAACCCTCTCTATCCCTCCATCCATCCAAAAAAAACCCCCCCAATGGCGAATCATCATCATCAACCAGCCTCTCCTGGAGGTGTTCATCTGCATCATGGATTACACGCCGGACATCCTCAAGTCAACGGCCATTTGCCAATGCAACAACCATCACACGCCAAGATTACACAAGCGCATCTCTATGCCCAGAGTGAGAACATTTGGTTGGGAATAGGTATGTACTTCATCGCGCCTATCAATACTTGCATCATCGCAAGCTAAGACATCACATAGGCAGTACCTGTGAGCTTCAAGGAGACTCCGATGGCGCGCTTTTCGCCTACGAGCAGGCTCTACGCCACAACTACCAATCCATACAGGCCCTCAATGCAATCTCATGTATCCTCAGGACCAAGGAAAATTTCCCGAGGGCCGTAGAATACCTACAAACCATACTGAAACTCGATCAGAGTAATGGTGAAGTCTGGGGCAGCCTGGGTAGCTACCTCCATATTGCGCATCGACGCAATCCCGCTGACGAGAACAAGGCCACTGCTTCCTCATGATGGAGGATCTCCAGCAAGCTTATGCAGCGTATCAGCAGGCTCTGTACCACCTCCGAGACCCTAAAGTAAGTGCTCCGCGATGTCCCAGTTGCTCCGGTTGACCTTCGATAGGAACCGAAACTGTGGTACGGTATTGGCATTTTATACGATCGTTATGGCTCCCTTGAGCATGCCGAAGAGGCCTTTTCCCAGGTCATGACTATGCAGCCAGACTTCGAGAAAGCAAACGAGATCTACTTCCGTCTTGGGATAATATACAAACAGCAACAAAAGTACGATCAAAGCTTAGAGGTAACCTCCTACGCCCATGTTGTAGACGTACCTTGCTAACGACACCAAAGTGCTTCAAGTATATCGTCCAGAATCCCCCTAGGCCACTGACCGAGGAGGATATTTGGTTTCAGATTGGTCACGTCCATGAACAGCGCAAAGACGTACGTACTCAGATCTTGAGTATTACCATTTGACTAACACGAGATGAGCAGTATGATTCCGCCAAAGCAGCGTATCGCCGGGTTCTTGATAGGGATCCCAATCACGCCAAGGTCTTACAACAGCTTGGATGGTTGCACCACCAGGAAAGCCCGCTATTCAACAGCCAGGAGCAAGCAATCGAGTATTTGGAGAAATCTGTGAGCTCTGGTAAGTTGTGCACAGCCTAGGGTACACTCTCGTGGTGCTAAACAGTCCAGACAACACGGATGCGCAAAGCTGGTATCTTCTCGGAAGATGCTACATGTCCCAGCAGAAATATTCGAAGGCGTACGAAGCCTACCAGCAAGCGGTTTATCGAGATGGCCGTAACCCCACCTTCTGGTGCTCCATTGGCGTGCTTTATTATCAAATCAATCAGTACCGAGATGCCCTCGATGCGTATTCCCGAGCGATTCGTTTGAATCCGTACATCTCGGAAGTTTGGTATGACCTTGGGACCTTGGTGAGCTTTCGCGAGATTCGATTACCTACACAAGTTCAAACTAACCAATGATAGTACGAGTCATGTAACAATCAGACTGCTGATGCACTTGACGCATACCAAAGAGCCTTCGACCTCGACCCGAGTAATATGTATATCAAAGCTCGCTTGCAGCTTCTACGTAACAATGGTCAATCTACCGGGATGCCTAATCAGCAAAATGCCCCAGTACCTCAAGACGTGCATCCTCAGCAATACCAGAACCCCGGCGTTGGTGCTCCTCCGGGCCCACAGTGGGGTGTTCCGACAGGCCCCCCTTCAGTGCTTCATGGACCCAGTCCAGCGCAAAATGGCACTGCACCCGATTGGAGTCGACGTTTGGCAGACATCCCCAATCCTCAGCCTCAGCCTCAGCCTCAGCCTCAGACCCAACCCTCCAGTATGTACGATCAGCGCGAGCCTGTGAGACCGCCACCGTCGCAAAGGCAAGGAAGCCCGCGTCAGGATCAGATTAGGCAATACCAAGAGCAACACCGACATACCCCAATACGACGAGCTTCACCACCACCAAATTTGAATCATAATGGGACGCTCCCGTTCTCGGCTCCCCAATCGTTACCGCAGCCTCAACTACCTGTGTCTGGACCAACGACCGCTAACCGGATTCCCAATCCAAATTATGGAGCTCCAGACCCTAGCTTGAGACTTGCCACGGGCGGCAGTCAGCTACCTCCAGGCCCTAGAGCTCCCTACGGGCGTGGAGATAGTCCTCCACCTGAGATAAGACCGATTGCAGAAGCTAGAGTGTCCCCACCAGGCCCCAACTACCCGCCGCAGCAGCATTATCAACAACATCACCCCAACACCTCTCAATCGGTAGGTATCGCTGCCGGTGCGCCGCCACCAATGGCGGCGCTCGCTGCTGCTGAAGCTGCTGCTCGTGAGAGAGATGACCGACCATCTACTGGGTTCAAGCGAAGCCATGAGTCTGATGATGAGTACAAAGTCGCAAACAAGCACCACGCAAACGGCGAGAGCCGAAACAGGTTAGAAGACCACCGTCACCGTAGAGCATCGCCGCCAGACAGGAAGTCTTCTCCTCGGCCGAGACCAGGGTCTCCACGGGGGAGACCACAGTCTCCTCCCTATCCCAGGCCGGCATCTCCTCTACTCAGACACAGTCGGAGCTCTTCCACAGCTAGACGTGAGGAGCAGAGAAGGGCCGACGAAACCTATCATCCGTCTGAAGCCGCTCATCATCCACCAACGCTGCCTTCAATGCATCAGCCAACGGCGAATGAGCCTCCTCAAACGCCTATCTCTGATGCTGGCCGCGAAGAGCGTCGGGAGGCATACGAAGCAGCAGCGAGGAAGGTGGAGGTTGATGAAGATTATGATGACGAGGGTGAGGAAGAGAAACGGAAAGAGGGATCAGGCGGAGGCAACAGTCCGCAACACAACAACATGAACGGTCAGCCAAAAGTCGAGGCGCAGAAGTGATTATGCATATTCATATACGTAAGTTTCCATTGACTCATGTCTTTGCAACAATACTGTGCTAACAATGTGACCAGCTTTATACATTGGCGTAGGCACTCAGAACACCGGATACCATTACGATTCCTAGCATGACCTCGGATGAATGAAATTGCACATGGATGCAGCTTGTGTGTACATGGGATCTGAATTCGCTGTGCTTTATACGAGCGGAGTTCTGGAGGGGATATATGGTATTGAACCGAGCGAAGCTTGCTGGGTCCGAGGGCGGAGAGGCAGGTGGGAGGATGGGGCCAATTTTGAGCGGTCGAGAGTGTGCCTTGAATCTCTGTAATTACAACATGAACCATCTGAGCTTCTTTATGCTTCTTTCCCATGATCCCATGATGATGATGATGATGAGATGAAGAGATGATGTCAGTTATACTGCGTGACAGGCATCAAAGCCCAGAGCAGTTCCATAGCTAGCTATACGGAGTATCATCATCGAACATAAGACCTCCCCGCGTTATGTTTACGATCAACAATTCTCGAACGTATTCAACCGCTGTCGACCTCGCAGGAAAACGTTCTTGGAACAGTTCCTACATCCCTCGGGCTTCAATATGTAGAGGATCAGAGGGGAGGCGACAATCGACATGACACCTGCGCTGTTACCGTCTCCCTTAACGCATGGTGTAGTAGCTAGCTCTCCTCCTCCTAAAGGGCCTTCATTAACTAGATTTGCCCGTTCATTTTGTGTAATCGTGACTCGAGATCCCTTCAATCAGACGACCGTTCATATATTCGCGCCGCGTGGACCCTCACGTATATATCACGATTTCCCAGCTGTAACACAGCGCATCAACTCTCCTTGCCTACGACCTCGACCCCTGTTTTCACGCTGGCTCTAGATCCTCGCAGCAGACAAAACTCAATCGTTCAGTGGCGTTGGCTCTCAACAGCCACTTTCTGGTCCACCATCCCGCAATGTGGAACTTCGCTTTGGCTCCAAGCATTGGATTAACCACCTTTCCCACCATCCTCTCACTGCTAGAACTGTCTCTCTTCCATCATCTCTGTCTTCTCTCCCGTCTGGATTTCCCAACATAGCAGTGTAGAACCAGAAAACACCAGCGACCCAAGCCGCTACAGCTATAGCCATGGCATACAGAGGAGAGAGCATGGAGACAAGGACAAGCACCATAATACCGCTTGTCTCGGAATGGACAGTGTCATCTCTGTCGCAGGAAGAGTATACGAGCTTGAGCTGGAAGACGAGTAGCGGCGAAAGGAAATGACGGCAGTGTGCGCAGACAGGTATCTGCTTCAAGCAGAAGCACAGTGGAAAGAGCAGCAGAAGTAGCGTGCCCATGAGGAGGGTGTAAGGTGCTATTGAGAGTGCAAGAAGAGGCGACAAGGCGGAGAGGTAGATCTGTTGATCGCGGACATGTCAGTGAGAAGAGATCTCACTAGAGGTAAGATTGCCTACTAATATCCAAAATGCGTGCTCTTTGGACTCGTTGTCATCCACATCATCCCCGTCATCAGCACAGATGACCCTTGAGTGCTGGTAGGATGAACTACGGGAAGGGCGTGTATGCCGTCGAAATCGCTCTTTTTCTGGATCATGAGAGCTAGGTCGTGCGTTGGTTGAGTCGTTGATTCTGATTGGAGCAGAAGTGTCTCGGGACTCGATTTCCCCACGGACTAGATATGTTGCTGCGGGTGGTCTCAGAGGTCCACATTCGGCGACTAGCCTGGACATGGCTTGGTCACCAGCAGTAGTAGACGGTTGGGAAGAAGATATATTGTGAAGCTTCACAACGCTTTCAAGCATGACGAGAGTATTACACAAGAAAGGCCAAAGAAGAGGAGGGCCAAGGGTAGAAGGGCAGCGAGGTCCGAAAGAAAGGATAAGACGGGGGACGAGGCAGCGTCATGTTGGAAATAGAGTCCTTGGCTGGTCTTGGTAGAGAAGAGAAGGCAGGCATCGAGGGGAGATTTATTTTTAAGATGGCGGTCTTGGAGCCAAGCAGCGAAGTCTTGGAAGTCTTGGAAGTCTTGGTGTCTGCTTGGCAACAGGGAGCAGCCGGAAAGGTCGATACTGGTGACAGCAGGAAGAAGTATTCGAAGGCAATCACGTTTTAGATACTCGTAGGCTCGTATCAACTCTGCATCGCAAGCACCCTCCCATTTTTTGGTTTCCCCCAGAGACAAGCTCGATATGTCGCCCAGGGTGTTCCGCGAATAGCGTAACAAAAACCTTTGAACGGCGCACCGAACAAACTGGTGAAATTGAGGACAAGCCTGTGAGCACCCGGAAGCAGATTATTCATCATTGCATCTTGCACGTGATCGTGATTCTATGCAGTCAAAGGCGGGAAAGCGAGGACGGGAGCACAGGAAAGCCCGACAGCGGTGTTTGACATGCACTGCTACTGCTGCTGTGCTCGATACAGCTGCAGCGTAGGTTCGAATTCAATAGAGGTACGTCGTCGACGGGAAGACGAACATACGAGGGTTGGAAATTGGCATTCTAGGTGTTTCAAAGATGACATCTACAAGCACAACAATCGAAAACAATCTCCACACCAACAGCTCTTCAGCGATTTCCCAAACATCACCTTCTTCACATACAACTTCTTCGTCTTAGATTGGCTAAGTCTGTCTCCGCACCTTCTGCCGAAGTGATTAAGGAATTGACATCTTCAATCAACGTTGGCAGCATTGGGTTTCTACTACCTCGTTTCTACTCCATGCGGTTACCTCTCCCATTCCAGCGTTATCTTTATTTTGTTCTCGGCTAGGAATGGAAGAAGGAAAAAGAACCCTCGTATAGCGCTCCCTAAACGTACAAGTTTCTCTCAGCTGGGGATAGATCGTATATATACTTAAAAGAGGGATAGCATATTCGACTAATTCATCAAAAGCCTCGACCTTCGAATACTATGTATAATGTATTCGAAGATATCTGTATAACTGTCATAACTTAGAAGGATCTAAGTTAAGTCGTACGAGTTGTATATGCCACTACTCGTACACGCATAGTCATAATTTCTCGAGAAGCCGTAGTCAGATGTCCGAGAATTCGGCCTCAAGAAGTGCGAAGACTTGGGAGTATATGCTGTATGGACACTGACACTCGGGGAGTTGGATTATTTATCGTCAGTAGCTGAAATACCTTGAACGAGCATCTACCAAGATCGAACTAAACAGGATAGGATCCCACGAGACCTATTAGCAGCCAACACCATGTACAGGTTGATCTCGGAGCTGGCCGCTACCTCTCCTTTTCCATCTACCCAGCAGATGGTCTAATCTCTAAATATCATCTTCAAGGACCTTACTAGAAACCTAATGATGCAAAATGATGATGCGGGATCTCTTGCTGCGAGATCAAGTGTTCATGTCCAATTCTGCTTCTCGGTAATGTCGACAGCACTCAGTAGCCTGAACTCAAGGGCAGTCCACCATGCTCTGTCTCCCCAGAAGATGGACAGGTTACCATTGACTTTGTCCGAAATCTGGGCTCGCCCGGTTACCGGAGGGTAAGACTGTCTCATCCCGAACAAGTGAGCCCAATTCAAAATCTGTTATCTCCACTTGGTGTTCCACCTGTGGCATTTGCGTGATTCGAACTCCCCACCTCCAAAGTACAAAGCCAATCGGCGTCCGTCAGCCTGCAACATGATCTCTGTTTCGCTTGAGCTCTCTTCAAAAATTGTGCTTCAGCGGTGTCATTCCGCTCTTGTTCGAATATAACATGTGACGTGAAACAGTAATAATTCAAGATTGTCGTAGGGCTGGAGATAGTCGAAAAGGTTGTGGTCATTCAACAGCTTGCATCGGGAGAGTTTGATCACATTGGTGGAAAAGAAAAGAAAAGAAAAGGCGGTGGAGGTCTTGGTATCAATAGTTTTGTCTTGGGACAATGCAAGAACCTCGGGAGCGTTGCGAAGGGTACAGATACTCGATATGGCATTTGCTATCAAAGTCAAAATAATAGAAGGAGGCTGGAGATATGCAGTCAAACGTCTGCATGGTTCGCTGTGGTTGGTGGTTCCAGACCGCTCTTACGAACAGTCGTGCCCATCTCCTCACATTCTGGTCTCCGGACTTTCTTCAGAAAGCACGTCACCCGGCGCATGCAGGAGTACAACTCAGAAGGCAGTGGACCCCTCCTTCACACCCCCGCCAACCCCCAACATGAGGAAACCAGTTCGCGCTTCAGACCTTCGCAACTTTTAGCGGGAAGACCAAAACAAAACAACACAGTGTACCCCAGCCCAGGCGGGCCGTCTGTGAATCGTAATATTAATAATAGTTGAGGGAGGCGTTCTTCGGCGCCTCCTACGCAGCAGGCTTCTCTCCACGTGTGCCGACGTACGTGCTTACTGATAAGTGAGAAGGAAAAATGTGGTGGCGATACTAGACTCCATGCAGGACCTCCTCAGTGAATCGACTCGGTCGGAGCCTGGAGGGGAGCGAATGTGCGCTCGGACATAATGATGTCTCGAATGACCGAGGGAAACAAGGCTGAAGAGAAACAAAAGGCTCGCATTCGCTAAAGAATAATAAGCGGTTTGTGGGGGTTTAAGGTTGGGAGCGGTCACTGTCTGTGTGTGTGTGTATGTGTGTGTGTGTGGTAATTCCTACGTCGGAGGGGGCGCCCGTCTAGCCTTATGGTCACTGTCAGTAGCGACAGGATTGCAGATTGCAGGATTCAAATGGCATCTGCAGGGCAACGGACAACGCGAGACCTTGCAGATACTTTATGATATACATAGTACATGGTACGTGGTACATAGTACCGCATGCATCCCACTCGGATAAGGTTGCATCATATCTTCCATTGATCGTATCATTGTACAGTTACAAGAGCAAAAGGTTGGCCAAAGGCTTTTTAGAAAACAATTCATTAAACGGCACAGGCAACCATTGCAAACGCCCCAGCGCCCAGCTTCCCTGTTCTTTGCGTGTGACAGCCTTTCGCTGCCGCCACCACACTGCGATATCGGCGCTAAAGTGCAAGACACGGTAACCCAAAAATTTGACAGCGAGTCCCTTCACACGCCAAATCCAACAGCCCAATCTTCGTAGAGCAAGGCCGAGAGAGAAGGAGGTAGAAGATATGATCAGAACCGCACTTCTGTCCCTGAGCCGTAAAAATTACCGTCGGAGGAGAAGGGATCGAAGAAGTTGCTGTTGGACTGTGGGTTCTCGTTGACAGAGCCTTCTCGCGACGACTTGACCGACTCCAGCTCGCTCCGTAGCTGCTTGACCTCCATTTTCAATTTCGCGTGTGTGCTGTCAAGATCGGTGTAAGATCTTGAAAGGTTCTGGTGCTTTGCCTCGAGCTCCTCAAGTTCGTGTTCGAGGTGCTGAACGTGCTTCTCTTTGCGTTCGCGGAAGGCGCGCTGAGAGGCTCGATTTTGGGCGCGGCGACGCTGTTAAGGATTAGCCGAGGCGAGCGGCGTTACCGGAGTTTGGCTGCACTTACGATGCGCATATTCGAGACGCTCTCTTTATCCTGTTGCGTGTTCGATCGCCTTCTTCGTCGGTCTTCCAATTGAGGCTGGGTGAGGTCTGTGAATTCGATGGAGTTGACGACTTGTGGTTGAGAGTCCATGTATTGAGGATAGGATGTTGGACTTGGGTATGTGTGGTATCGGTTGTTGAGGCTACCATACATCTGAAAATAGTTTGGTCAGTACTCGGGGTTAGTGGAGCAAAGTGTTTCGCGGACTCACCATCGGAGGGCTGGGGCTCGGATCTGTTGAGACGTCATCGAATGAGCAAGACAGCAGCTCAGGAACATTTGGGAAGGACATTGGCGACGCGCAATAGTCGCTGGTAGGGGTCATGTACATCTGATCCATGTGGGATAAAGGGCAAGCAGTCAAGTATCGAGGTGTATAAGAGATAGATGATGGCAGGCAGTCAGGCAACGTCAGGCCAAGGTAGTGTAGTGGAGGAAGAAGAAGCAGAGGAAGAGGGAGAATAAGAAGAGGATGGTAGATGTTTGAAGGAAGATTTTGGGAGCAATGAGCGAAATAAATCAGACGACAGCGATGGTTCAAAGTGATAGCTATATAGACGCAGACCAACACACCCTGTCGACAGCTACACCGACTTTCGGCATCCTCCAACGAGAAGGGAGGTCAAGCTACCCACGATCTGTGCGAGCATATACCGCAAAGAGAAGCAAGCCCCCACAGCCATTCTTAGGGTTGCCACGTGTGAATGGTGAAATGGTTGCCGAAGAAGGAAATGGAAGGCTCTTTGGTGGCTTACTTTTATTTTCCCCCCAGTGTGATGTGGGTGAGGAAGAGACGTGATACGTCGGATCATCCAAATTTCGGTCGAGGCACGCGAGGCACGTTTTTTTAACTCGACCCTCTAGCGCCCTGCAGGGTGTTCTCGTCAGCAGCCAATTTCTTACATACTCGCTGCACACTGCCCTGCACACTTATAATTAAAGTAAGGGTACTTTACTCGAATTACCTTACTTACTTTTACCTTACCAAATCATGCGCCCGCACCCCGCCTAGCTAGCGCCCCCGCAAGCGATCCTTGGCATCCCCCTGTCAAAAAAAAAGTAAATCTTTCCCGACCCCTACCTTTGGTGCTACCAGTGGTCATGAGTATGACAAACAATTGCGGTGAAGATTGTTTCACACATCTAATAAGTGCATTGCTTTTATGAAGGAGTTTCTGCCGCATACCATCACCGCTCCACCATTCCACCATTCTACCATGTCGACTATCTTTCTAAGAGCGGTAAAAGCTTCTGATCCGTAAGGTGTTATCCGACCTATAAGTCGTCGTGGAACCTGCTACTTAAGTACGAGTACCTTGAACCATGATCTTGCTCTCTCAGAGTGTGGAAGCACAAGAATCGCTATGTGCACCGGATGATCCCGGTAGGGTGAAACCAAGGATTGCAAGTTCTTGGCGGATAAAGTTTTGAATGCTGAGCTGCTCAGGCTCTGAGATAAGCATTGCCACTTTGTAGGCCAAACTGAAAGGAGGCCTGATGACAAACAGGTACTGTTCCTTTGTAACTTGTTTTGGGAGACACAGGGTGGTGGCCAGGAGATTGCACAATCACGACCAAGGGCGGTGCTTCAAAGGCTGTTGGAAGCCTCACACTGTCAAAGAGACTCCGCCCACAGTACTAACGTGGGAAGTCTAGTTTCAAATTTCGATCAGATTGCCTTGTCGGAGGCGTTGAAAAGCCCAGACCAGCCAAGAATGGTGGCTCGTCGGACGAGCCGAATAACATCCACGATTCGTTCTGGAAAGTCCGTGCGGAGACACACTCACTCTGCGAAAAAGCTGGTGAGGGTACAAGTAAATGTGACAGGCCCCGCAAGAAGCTTACCAAAAAGCCTGCTACTCTTGGTTGTCTGCGTAGATGAGATTGGATCGTCATGATCGATCGAAAGGCTAGTGGTGTAACATGGCTAGGGCCATGGTGCTGATCAAGTCCTGAAACAAAGAAAAAGTGAGTAACGACGGACCACGCGAGCGGCGAGTAATTTGTCAGATCCAGATCTAAACACCTATTTCATTCTCGAGATCTGAAACACACGTGAGCGTACGTTATTTGGTGGACGAATCGAGGTATCAAATCCAAGCGCGGATGGCAATTGGAATTTGAAACCAAATAGACGGAATAGCGGTGCGTCTCGAGTGTACTCAATGCATCGGAATGATTTGTCCTGGAGCTCCAAGTTCCGGTTTTGGTAGGTCTGTAACGGGAGCCGAGCATGTTCCCGTCGTAGTGTCCACGAGTCCTGAAATGGCATTGCCAACACAGGCGGCATGGGGCTTAGATGATCGAAAATGATAGTTTTCGCGGCACGTCTAGTTTTAGTCCTGCCGTTATTCGTGCTGCTTTTATAACATCGATCCTTTCTTCCCTTGGGCTTCACGATGTTGAGGTACATTCCATTCTTTTTAAGGAGGGTTTTCTGCGATCATCGCGCACTTCATCTCAGCAGACAAGTCAACGCCGCTTTTTGCCGCCTTATTTTCCAGAAACGGTCTAGTAACCAAAACTAGCATTACTATACTTGCTGGCAGTGATAAGCAATGTTGTGCTGCGAGAAAGATTGCAAGACCTGGGAGTAATTCGCGTAAAATAAATGGACGTAAAACAAGTGGACGAAAGCCGCAGCCGCAATACTCAATGTCAGAATCTCAGGTCAGTCACTTGACGAACTGTAAAGCGGTAGCAGTAGTAAAAAGGCACCTAATCAACATGCAGTGTTTGGAGCGCAGAGCAGATATCATAATCGACAAGGTTTTCTCTTAGCTTTGCAATGACATGCACAGCCGCCTTTTGAATGACATAGTGAAGCAATCTCTGGTACGCCGGGGGCTCAGCATAGTTCGAAGGACTCTGCTTGCGAGCTCTGTTGACGCCCGATTCATGAGAGAGAGGAAGGAAGCGGGGGAAAGGATCAACCCTGATGATCTGCCATGGCATTGGCGAGGTGAAAACCCAGCGTTGGGCCTTGATCCAGTCGTCATGATGGAGCAGAGCAATAGTGCAAGATTGAATATAAAGGGCATAGTACCGTAGAAATATGAAATTATTATAAGAAAGAGTGAGGGAGTGAGTGAGTGAGGGAGTGAGTGAGGGAGTAAAGCTGGAAAAAGAAGATTTTGGATTTGAAGCGCGCTTTACCCAAAGGGAAGACCCGCCGTGGCAGTGCCGGAAATGACAGGGATCTTTTGTTAGGCGAAAGAGCCTGAAACACAAATCAAGAGGCACCAACGAAGCCGTCCACTAGCAACACAGACGGTTCGCTGCACGTCAGGCTCCTACCACACTACATACCACACTACCACACCTCCCAATAACATCACCATTTGCGGGCAAATGGCTTCAATCCGCTGAACAGTCATCCTCTACGTCTTCCTTTCATACTCATCGCCATGCAAAAGGAAAGCAGGAGCCTGGCCAGAAGACTTAATTTCTTGAACATCATCTGACCTACCACCAATTTCTCATTTGCTACAACCCTCGGCCGAGTCGTAACAGTTCGGTAAGCGACTATCGACGTCGCAATTGCCTCCAGTACCTAGACGTTTCATTACTCGGACCACATCGGATTCACGCCCTTAACAGACATTCAAAAGAGGCCGGAGGGAGACTATATACCGAGCGAACCAGCAAATCAGTCAAGAGAAAGGACAGATTCAGATCGTGGAGCGCAAGGACAGCTGCTGCCAGCATCGTCAAAATATCGTTTTCCATTGGACTACGCCTTGTACGTACCTGAATCCTTTTTATTGCAGACGCGGTATCATCTAGGTCATGTGGGGGCCACATGCACAATGACACCTTGCAAAGGAGAGTTTCGATGGCAGTCATCGACAGATACGAGTCAAACGTCAGAGCCGCCTGCTCATGTCATACGTGTGCTATAGAGAAACGCTCCCTTCATTTCTGCAGTCTACCATACCACCTTCGCTGCCTGGCTTGAAAGCCATAGAGCGTCCTGCCCCGACATCGTAAATCGACTAGGTGGGTATCAATCCTCAGCTTTGCGCAAGAACTATATACTGCAGCATTAGTAAAGGTACGGCCCACACGAATGGAACTGAAAGCAGGCCCTGCGAGTCAAGTTCTTTGTTGCGATTATTCCTAGCCTCGACAATATTTACTTCTGGCTAATGCTGATTCTCCATCAGCTAGGAAACCTTGTTGTCCTCACGAAACGCCGATTCAACCGTTGAGACCAAACTTGGCTCCATGGTTTTCAACATGTGCTTTCCCAAGTCTGGAGGCAATGTCCTCGCCCGTTCAACGAGTGAAGACAGGAAAAAGAATATGGAGATCGAAAAGATGATTCGGAAAGACAAGAAAACGCAAGCAAGACAAGTCAAAATCTTACTTCTGGGAGCTGGCGAGTCTGGAAAGTCAACAATTTTGAAGCAAATGCGGATCATATACTCTGAAGGTTTTCGTCTGGATGAGCGAAAGGAAGTGCGTCAAGTCATATTCTCAAACATGATAGTCGCATTCAAGATCATTGCAGAAGAGATGCGGGAGCTTGGCTTGGAGTATGAGAACGAAAAATCACAGGTACTTACATAATGATAGTCTCCACGTATGTCTCTATGCTTAATATTGGACCAGGAGTACGAGCGGATCATAGCGTCTGCCGCTGATATCGGTCCTGACGATACGTTTCCAACGCAATGCCAAATGGCTATGAAGGGCTTGTGGGAGGATGAGGCTGTTCAAAAATGCATAAGACGTGGCAATGAATATGCACTCCACGATAATATACAATAGTAAGTTAAAGTTCCAGTGCCTCTTTATTTTGAACTGCTGACAAGTCCTAGCTATTACTCCAACATAGATCGACTGTTCGCTAGAGACTACCTGCCGAGTGATCAAGATGTCCTACGCTCTCGTCTCCGCACAACTGGAATTACTGAAACCCTCTTCGAACTTGGACAGCTCAATTACCACATGTTTGATGTTGGAGGCCAGCGATCGGAGCGTAAGAAGTGGGTCCACTGCTTCGAGGGAGTCCACTGTCTCATGTTTGTCGCTGCGCTAAGCGGCTACGACCAATGTCTGGTGGAAGACAAAACCGCCGTATGTGATTACCTCGGGAGCATCTGTTCTCCTTACAATATACTGACTGACTCTGCCTTATTTCGCAGAACCAAATGCAGGAAGCATTGCTTCTCTTTGAGTCTATAATGAGCCTGACTTGGTTCAAGAGCTCCTCAATCATCCTTTTCCTCAACAAAACCGACCTTTTCAAGGAGAAGATCGCTGAAAAACCCGTCAGCGACTACTTTCCGGATTATACAGGAGCGTCCAATGACGACAAGGCCGCCTCTGAGTACTTTGCAAATAAATTCAAAGCTCTCAACCGCACAGAGGACCGGGAGATATACGTCCACTTCACCAATGCCACAGACACCAATCTGCTGAAATTTACGATGCAAAGTGTGCAGGATACTATAATACAAAGCAACCTCACTACACTGATCCTATGATGACGGACGACGTCTGGATAAGACTGATGGCTTACGACTGGACACTCGAAACATCTCCCTTACGATGCCATACCCTCCGGCGCTTTTTAGGCGTACTCTAATCTCGTTGTCATGTTCCAATTCCTTCTACGCATACTGTTTTTGATTTAGACGAGAGAAGAGGATTCAGCGTTTGCACAGGATGTCTACTTCTTTGTAGATATTTTGGGGCTGGAACATAGCTGAACGCGGGTATCTAAGAGAGGTAGAGCGGCCGGTATGTACATGAAGTGTATCAAAGAGTCTCAAAAATGTCTATTCCTCGTAGACAAACATCGCGAGTAGATGTAAGGGCTAGAACCTGCCGAGATTCGCCTTGGTTTGACATGACCACCGTAGATCGCACCGCAAAACGGTCTTTGCCATAAATCTCTTTATGCCAGATTTTTTATGCCACATTACACCGAAAAAGGCATGACTGAATATCTTTCTGCTTTACTGTGAACGCATCGATATGCTGTCGCTTTACTCGAGCGAGTTCGTTCGCCGAAGTACCTGGACATGCCTATCATGCTCCGCCCTTTCCAGAACATCCCAAACCCTGATAGCAAGCCCACCAAATAAATTACCAGCACACGACCACCAGCGCAAACACTCATCCTCGAAGACCCCAAGTCCGCCCAAAGATGAGACCCGGGCCATCACTACTCCCTCTGAAGCCCCCAGCAAAGATGCTAAAGCCGCGGTCAAGGAAGGCATAGAGAAACGCCCCAACACCCGTATCAGCAAACGGAAGTCGAAAGACAGCATCCAAGACACGGCGGGGAAGAGCAGTAATGAGTTGACATTCAATCTGCCAAGTGTGCCCACGACGAACCACTTGCATGCCGTTGGTATGACTTTCCATCCTTTGCGGTTGATAAGCGCCTGGCTAACAAGGGCCTAGATGTTCACATGTCAAACTTCTTCTCATTACACAGGCCCATATCCGTCACAATGCCTATACCGCCAGAGTCTTCTGCTGCTGCCTTTTCTTCGATCTTTGACCCAAAACCGATCCCGAAGCACAAACCGACCAATGTTATCTACACCCTCTCATCCGCCGTCAATACACTCGAGAATACTGCCTCGAGCACCCAGAACCAGAACTCCCAGCCAATGACACAAGAAGAAGTCGATCTCCGTGCTGCTGTCACTCAGGCCTCACACTCCAACGCTCACCCCTCTCCTCACCATCTCGACTTACCAGCTAAAACCTTTCACCTTAACCTGCAAGAGCTTGTCAAGAACTTCCGGCCCTACATGAGACCACTACCTCCCGTTCCGATGGACTCTGCTCTCCCCGAAGGAGCCCCACGGAAGACTTCTGAGCAAGCCGAACTCCAATCCGAATCAATCGTCACGCAAAAAACCTTCACCACGACCCTCACTATACAAGAAAGCACGTACCGTAGCGGCCGTAAGTCCTACGAGTCGCACACCACCCCTATCGTCGAAGGCCCGAGCTCTTCTGCAGGAGAAAGGGAGAAAGAGGTATATTTGCCACCTGCACCCCGCGGCCAGCCATTCCTGGGACGGATGCGGGAAAGGCAGTTACAGTACATGGATAGGTTAGGTGATGGCGAAATATGGCAGGTTATCAGCGTGAAGAGGCAACGGAAGTTGAAGATGAAGAAGCATAAATATAAGAAATTAATGAAGAGGACGAAGAATCTGAGGAGGAGGTTGGATAGGACATGAGAGCTTGGATTGGTCGTTGACTTGCGTGGCATGGAATGGCACTATGTAATGCTCGTCATAGAGGTAAAGAGGACTGCGTGGTGCTTTCCCGCGCAGCTACAGAATGGCTTGATACGACTTTCTTATTGATTTCGGCATTTATTGTGTTCCTTCATAGGGAGCTGGTATTTGGCGGGAGTTGAGCGACTCTTTCATGCCGCGACCTAGGAGCCCTGGTGTCTAAGTCAACCTGACCAGCTACTGTCACTTTCTCGCAGAATGGATAGAGATCGGTAGTCATGCTTCCGGGTGGAAACAGCAATCTTCCTGCTCGAAAAGGCTTAGAATGGCAGAAGAGTGCAAGCGAGAGGGACGTGATACATGTACACCCCCCAAATCTTTCGGCCACGATGGGTGCCAGACCCGGCGCACTTCAACTGTATCTTTAGGGGCACTTTCCGGTAACCAACGAATAATCTACCCCTTTGCTCACTTCACTTGACCGTTAACCCCCAGAGGATTAGTCTGGTTAAAGAGCCAGCGCAACGAAAGAGTGCAGGAGCGAGTGTGTACAGGAAGGGGCCCCCAAAGGGACAGAGGATCGTGTTCACGAGTGACGCACTCTGTAGGTAGCAAGATACGTGTGCCCGGAGACAGTACCCGGAAGCTGTACCCTAGACGTGCTACCAATTTGAGGAGGGAGGTGTACATGTATCACGTCCCAAGCGAAAAGACTGGTATTTTACTAAAAGAGCCAGCTTCCCAGCCCCTTATCTACCGCATCAATCTAATGCACAAACAACGCCAAAAAGACGTATTCCACTTCCACTTCCCCTTTCCCTCCCGCTACTACCGCAATCCTCTCCTTGTTTTCATACATAGTGGTGAAGGTGATCGAGGGCCGAATCGGTGTCAAGAGTTCTCCATTGTCATACTGAGCGAGTCTTTGGTTATTTGACTATTTGCAGACAACATCCTGCGTGCCCTTGGAGTTCATTAGTAGGGCAACGATCAACCCATACAGACCCAACACTTCGGCAAAAATGAGGATCAGGATCATGCCGACGAAGAGTCTGGGCTGCTGAGCGGTACCACGGACACCTGCGTCACCAACGATGCCAATTGCGAAACTAGGCATCAGAGTAAGCATGTTTCCGCGCGACGGTACTGGAAGGGAAGGCAGTTAAGGCAGCAGCAAGAAATGTGCATACCCAGCAGCAAGACCAGCCAAGCCGACACTAAGACCGGCACCTAACTGGATGAAGCCGGTGTAAAGGGCCATCTCTTGCTTCAAGCCATCGGAGATGAGGACGGATACAACGAGGCCGTAGATACCGATGATACCAGCCATGATAACGGGGACGATATCTGTCATGATATTCAGCAACCTGTTGATGTGTATTCAATCAAGCCATTGTTCTTGGAAGAGGCGTACTCTTGACAATCAGATCAGGTCGTAGAACACCCATTGCTGAGATACCGACACCGGATTTAGCCGTTCCGTAGGCAGCGCCAAAGCAGGTGAAGACGATGGCGGAGGTGCATCCCATCGCACCGAAAAAGGGCTGTTGTGCGATGTTAGCTTTCGCCGTCTTCGACCTTACATGGATGGCAAGGAATCCCAACAGAGCCCGGGCTTCGCTGGCTTGAGGGTCGGACAGAGTACTAACAGCATATACGGGACTGTTGGGATGTGTGTGTCAGCCCCAATGGTTTCAAAAGCATACGTCTGCAGGCATGGGGTCGTAGGAGGGGTGCAAGCTCCATAAAGCTGGTTGCCCCACGGACAGATAGGCAGAAAAAGGGATGAGGTCCACGACTTACCAAAGATCTGAAGACATCTTGAGAGTTGTGTAGGGAGGTTCCTTGGGCGCAAGAAGAAGGCGAGTATGGACAGATTAGTCGAGCGACTGTGATGAACGGTGGATGGTTGGCGATCGATATGGTGACGATCTAAAGATTGAAGACGTTGACGCCGTCCCTCGGTCTGAGCTAATATCAAGTCACGTGATGCTGGACGATCTTAGCGCCGATCAGATTTGAGCCGAGAATTCGAGCTTCACGAAGTCAAGAGTTTTTACATTTTTAAGAACAGTGCAAAGGGCGAGCCACGGCAGTGAACCCTTTGCATCTTACTCAGAACCCCGGCGCATACCACCGTTACTGTCCAGGCCTCTTCCTATCTTTTCGAAGAGCAAACCCTGTGCACCTTATTCAAAACCCCCGGCGCATACCACTACTACTGTCTAACCCTCTTCCAACCTTCTCAAACAGCAAACTACGGACAGCTGGAGCTCTCGCAATGACGGACCAGTCAGCTGGTATGCCCTCCTCTTCTACACGTTCACTATATTTGCTAATGCTTGTGCAGCTTGGCCGGTACCTTCATTCCTGTCCCAAAACACTCCCCACCATTGATATAGTTGATACTGAATACTGGGTTTCCAGTTAGCAGGGTCGTCGCTCGCGCAGGAAATATTGGATCTGGTGCAGCAGGCTTCGCATTACCGTGAGTATGCTTCCTTCTCCGAGTGGTCCTCACCTCGAGAAGCATACACCGAGTCGGAGGATATTTTGGCAGTCTTATATCTCGTGAAAGCTGTGTTGTGCATTCTATGCCGTTACGTACAGCAAAGAGGCTAACTCGAAAATCGTCTAGGCCAACTCAAGAAAGGGTATCTATACTTTACCCTTTTACGCTTCAAGAGTAACACGTTGACAATATCCAACACGCAGAGCCAATGAGGCTACAAAGACTTTGAACAGAGGCACATCAGAAATTATTGTTTGTCACACCATGTACAGACATCAGAGGATGGCGCCTAACCAAAGAAAATAGGTTCTCGCTGCAGATACTGCTCCACTCGCTATCTTGCTACATCTACCGCTATTGTGTAAGTAATCGTGGTGAGGTGCTTTGTTGCCATGCACTGACCAGCCGATAGGTGAAGATAAAAATGCAAGTGACTGTCCTTAAACGAACAGCTAGTGGATACTAATCTACAAAAGGTCCCGTATGTATACGTGCCTTCTAAGACTGCCGTAAGTGTGCATCTTGAAGCAGTCCTTTGAGAAAAAAACGCTGACTTCGACATTTTCTAGTTGGGAAGGGCTTGTGGTATGTACAATCTTGAAGCATATCCTTCCATTTCAGACTGCTTTTCGACTGCTCCTTTGAGCTGTCTCATTGCTCGAGATTTGCCTTGAAGGAGGACTGCTAAACCCGAACTATCTATAGGAGTCTCGAGGGCCGTGATCAGCGCAAGTATGAGATGTTACCTCTTTGATCAGAACGCTGGAATTGCGGGAAGTTGACGGAGAAGTAGGCATCACCACGAACGAGGCTAGCGACCTCATGGGTCAGATACAATCGTTGAAAGACAAAGTGGAGAGACTGATGGTCTGAGGTGGAAATATGGAGCTGCGTGGAGTATCAGCTTTTTCGTTGGGTGTGACGAGGCTGATGTTCGTGATACAAAAGGTTGTGATGATCGGATGGCATATGTAGTGGAGTTGACTGGCCACGAGGTACCGAGATTAAGTCGTACGTTGGCAGGACTAAACCATTGACCATTGGGTTGAAGAATTCTATAATTGGGAGCCTCGGCTTTTGCCTGCCTCTATCCCGGAGCGTTCGTTAAGTCTGGAGGGCTTCATCCTGATGAAGCAAATATGCTATGATTAAATGCCTTCACAAGCCATTATACTGAATCTGTTCTGTCCTTTCACTTACATCTTCAACAATTCCCCATCTTCAACATCTCAAAACTGCCCTAATATCTTATCACTCCAGCGTGACACCTACCAGCGACCGCCCCGATTCCTGTCTGACATCTCCGATTTTCCCAAGGCTCACTGTACTTCTTCTTGAACCAAATATCAACCATCCTAGCTATTACGACCAAGTAGAGTCCCTCAGACGTATCCACACCACCGTGGGCGTTTCAAGTCGGCTCGAAACAGCTGTTTGTCCTCATGCCCTACAACACATTGCACCACCCAATTGCGAGGATTGTTGCAGCTTGACAAACCCTCCCGATTACCCGTTTGGTGTGTTCCCCATAACGATTGAGGTACTGTCCGACTACTGGCGTCTTCCAGTGGGCGCGAAAGAAGAAAAACCTGCGGGATGAGATGTTAAGAAAGAACCTTAGCATCTTCTATACAGAGACCGGTATCCTCAATGAACAAGGTCAACAACTTAAGTATGTATATTGCTTTAATGAACACCCCTTAGCAGGATCTTTCATATTTTGAGTCAGTCCGCTAATTGCTGACCCGCTTGAGAGCATTCGAGTGGTGGGCTCGCACAATGTCAATAAATACCTGGACCGCTGTACAAATGCTTCCCGGTCAAACCCTTGCTGCTTGCCCCAAGAACGCAAGCTGCTATCGGAATGTTGCCATTGCTGCTGTTTTTCAAGTGGGAGCTAGCCAGTACAAAGATATCGAAGACGGGCATGGCAATTGCCTTGGTGCGAGTGGATGTTTCCTTTTCGTACACACCAGAGGCAAAGACCTTTCTGCGCGTCCACCGCCCTGTCTACTACAGTTATCAACTGCTGTTTGAAGGCGGCGTTTTCCTGCTCAATGAAACTGGTAATTGCTCTCTGGATACGGTCCAAGTTGCTTGATTCGACACGAGTTGAGATTGGCCAAATATTGAGCCGATATAGTTCTTTGAAGACATAACCGGCTCTAACCTGAATGATCTCGGACAATAAATTTCTAGGGCTGTCCTGAAAGAATCGAGCCATGATGTGTTCCACCGCTGAAGAAAGGTCAAGTAGACCAGACTTGCGATCTTGGTCGATTGATGCTTTATAGAAAGAAGGATAGTTAGTACTGAACAGGTCTGGGTTTTGCCAACTTAGGGGGTCGACAGCCAGCTTACCGTACAAGCCCTGAGGAAGCAATGTAAAAAGCTCATCTATTGTATCACGCGAACGCTCGACCGTGTCGTACTGTATCATGTTACGAGAGCTGGTCCAGAAATTCTCTTGGTTATCGAAAGCATACGCGAGGGCCAGCAAGGTTCCGTAGCCTCCAGGTGTTTCGGAGCCTAAGCGGGCATGCAACCATAGCTCGCTCCAGGGATTGAACGCTAACCCAGCGTCATACTTGTCGCAAAAAGGTGCCATATCCCTGAGCTGATTGAACGAAGGACCGGGTTGCTTGCCATGATATTCTCGGAAGTGAACGATGTGACAAAACTTGGTGACTGCCTCGGGATCATCCTCTGGAAGATAAATCTCTGGAGGATTTGAAGAGGACAGAGAGGTACCCTCCAAGAAACGACGAGGACTGAACATCGCAGCCAAGACAGGCGAGGCTAAGCTGAGTACCTTAGACGAAGCTCGGATCGATCTCTGATTGTCGCCAGAGCCGATGACCAACACCAGGTCACCTGCGGGATCAGCATCGATCTTCGTGGCTTGCGCCGGCGTCAATGAAGGGTCTGCCATGATTGTGGATATCGAGGAGATGATAGATGGGTGTGCGGGAAAGGAGGAGAGGATGTCTGTCTGGTATATTTATAAGGTTGACTTCACCGGAAATATGTGTCACAAAGCAGAGATCTTGGCGAATGCGAGAGCAATGGGTCACGACTGTGTTGATGGCGAAGATGGAGTAAGTCGGTTGTGTTGCATTCACCCTTCTTCCTCCTTCTCTTTCCTTCTCTCGGATCCAACAAACCGATGGAGGAATTCTCAACACTCTTAAGTCTCTAACCATGTGACCATTCCAGTCTATTGAAACTCGGCAAGGATGTCTTCCCTAAGCACGCACAGTGGTAAGTCGGATAGCCACCAAACACAATCACCTTACTCAAAAAATTCACTCCACCGTGCCTCTGGAAACGGAAACTTCTCACCATCGTCCATCACCCATCACCATGGACCATTCCGCAGGAACGCCATCGGATTTGTTTCCACTTGACGATGCTGATCTGGCCGGCGAATTTTGTTGATACTCGAAACAGATGAAGATGGAAGACCGACCCAGTCGTCGATTCGAGTATCTTCCAAAGTGCTGAGCCCGGCTTCACCCATGTTTGCAGGAATGCTGAGTCCCAAATTTGGCCGAGGGTCAAGCTCTCGTAGACGCGACTTCACCGGATACTCCGTCAATCTCCCTTCCCAACGACAACTCAGAAGCCATGATCTGACTGTGCAAGGCTCTTCTTCATTTTAAACAGGACCTCACCGCTGATATTAACTTCTCACTCTCGAGAGAGTTAGCTTGTCTCTGCGACAAATATGATCTAGTTGGCGCACTCAACCAATGGAGTCATGCGTAGTTGCAGAAATGGCCTGGCTCCTCACACGGCATTAAAAGTCATGCAGAAATGGTCTGGATCTCGTAAGCTTTAGACAACGAAGAGTATCTCTGGCGCAGTTCGAGAAACCTTATGCTGTTCAATAGAATGGAGGATCGTACAGCTTTTCAGAACGAACCAGACTACCGTGCTCCCTGCCAGACTCCTTTGTAGGTGTCTTATTCCCAGCTTTGCGTTCGACAACATCACTTGCAATTATCGATTAACAACGCGGCGTTTAGACCGCATTAAGAAAAGATCTCGAAGCCATTTTGGTTGAGCTTCGCAAGACTTGCCGGGACATCATGGCTCCTCTGCTCGAGCATGAGTGTGTTGCCGTAAAGAACCACAATCGATACATAAACTATCAGGCTTGCGACCATCTCACCAACATTAGATATTACTCCGTGCAGCTCAGCAAGTCTGGCCTTTGGCCAATTGCCCAAAAGTGTCACAAGACAAGCATTATCGCCTTATCAGCTGGGCTGTCGAAATTCCAGGAGTACTGGGACGGGGACGTCACGCAGGGCTCCTACGGTAAACATTGCAGCAGTCCCAACATTGACATCAAGCAGCTCACCGAGCAAGCTGTGGAAGAGGCTACTGAATAAATCAAAGGGCTGTGTCTCAATTGTGTCAAGCACCATAGGAGATACACCAGAGAGAATCCAAATTGCCGCAACTCCAGAAGACAGGCATGCGAAGGGTAGTGCTGAAGGGATGGTGGTCGCTATTTAGATTCTGCAACTTCAAGGCAACAAGGTTGCAAATGACTGTCCGCAAAAGACACGACTGAATTCGAGCCCAGAGCATGCAAAGGGTGAAAATGTGGAATGCCTTGTTCGAGTTCGAAGGCTGCAAGGAGAGGATGGCTTAGCAAGAGAAACTGGCAAGGACAAGATAACGAACCATTTGCTCTTCGCAATTGAAAAACTCTATCCCTACCACGCTGTTCGCAGCATTGATTCCCGAACACTCATGAGGTTATCATAACCCACAATAGAATACCCAGACTCCGACTCCAACTCCAAGCCCTTCACCAACCCCACGTTCCCGGGCCCCCCTTCACCCTCCCCTCGATATCACCCGTGACCCAACCCCCGTAGAAGTCCCCCGGCTGCGGCTCCACTTTCTCCCCATCCACATAGCAATCCCAGGGCTCGGCATACAACGAAATATACCCCTTGATCGCCTCGAACCCCTTCGTAGGGGCTTCATAACTCCAGGCTCTGTTTCTGACGACCTCTTTGTCGCCGTCAGGGGATTGGAGGTTCCAGTACGTAGCGCGCCCTTTCCATTCGCAGAAGGAGGTGTGGGGGGAGGGGTGGAGGGGAAGGGTGAAGGCCGTCACGGGGAGATAGTAGGCTGAGAGAGATCAGTAATCGGGACCTTAGGCAGTTGTCGACTCGGAAGGTGTACTAGGAGGATGTGTCGTTTCAAGGACCCAGTACGCGTCTTTGGTATCAGCGATTGTCTGGTCCCGCCATTTGACCTGGAGATGGCGGGGTGTCTTTTCGAGGAGGGGTGGTCGGGGGAAGTTGTGCACGTTGAGTTTGGGCTTTGGAGGCATTATCGTGAGTGGATTGAAGAGACTGGGTTCAAGTAAGAGGTGGAATAGCACAAGGGTTGCGGAAAGGATGAGTAGGATCGAGCCGCTTGTAACCGTCATCAAATCAACTTGGCTTTACTCTAAATTGATCCAAAGACGGTAGAGTAAACCATCTACTTTGTAATGCTATGAAAACGGATGTCCGGTCACTCAGAGGCATTCGAAGATGTGCATGCAATCCCGAGCGCAATCTCTATCTCCATTGGACCATTCCCCCAATGACACTCTCCAGGTCTTCCAAAACCCCTTCCGACAGATTCTTATGATCGGTTCGAAGACGTCCTAGCAGCTCCGCCCATCATTTGGTCTAGCACATCAATGAAAAAAAAATCTTGGAGATTCGGAATGAGGCCATCACGTCGCTATGTATTAAGTAGCAATCAAAAATTCGGCGTTTGATGTTCGACTGAGCTATGACTCTAGACAACTAAAACGCTGTCATAACAAAAGATGGCTAGTATCGTACATGGTATAAGTCAAAGACAATAGAAAAGAAAGAGCGAGCAATAATGTGCCATAAGAAGTGAAAACGACAACGCGAAGGAGACTCATACCCGCTATGCCCAGTACTATCATTGATCAGGTGATTCGAGACACTGGTGACCGAACCGAAACCCGTCCTACCATGCAGTATGTAGACAATAATCATACTCGTGCAGTCATTACATCTCATTCCATCTCAAGGCTACATATTCATCGGCGGTGTCCTTCCATTACCCCTAGCCGACCGTGGCGATCCAGAGCTCTCAAGATGATTGAGTCCAGGACTAACGAGGATCTTCCATTTGGCCGTATCCCTGACATCCTCATCAACCCCTGGGTGCGTCCCCTGCAACCTGCCTGCAATTTCTCTGGCTTTCTGCGGACCTAGTCTCTTCGAGAGAAGGGAATCAGATCGAGTGGGCAGCTCAGGTCTAGCTGGAGCTCTCTTTTGTGCTGTTCGAGTTGGGCTCTCGGCAGCTGATATTGGAATTGAGGGGTAGGTGACTCCGCTGCGATGAGGGGATCTCAGAGCTGGAGACTCAGCAACGGGCGAGAGAAATTTGCGGGCAGCTGGGGCTTCATCTTCGTCTGCGTCTTCGAAGCTGGTCTCTGACCCGTTGGAGAAACGTGTGAGTTTGCTGCTGGAGTTACTTTGCTTTCTTCGGGGATCCTTGCGGCTGTGGGAGCGTTCGATCGCTGCCAGGTAGTGCTGTTCGATTGGTGGTGGCGGCGGAGGATAAGGCTTTGGGAGACTCGGTTGCTGTGTCCTTGATGGCGCCGGTCGCAGTCCTCTGGCACTCGGTGATTGCTGTGCTGGAACTGGTTTACGGACAATGTCAATTGGTGTAGTCCACGCTCCTGGGAAATTTCTGGGGACTGGGCGAGATGAGCCTGGAGACCGTGGTCGAGACGCTTGCACATACGGATATATATTCGGCGGGGGTGAGCGATTGAAATCATCATAGAATGGATCCGACAGACTTCTTTGCCGGCTAGATCCAGGTTGGAGGTGGGCTTGGCTTGTGTCCATGTTGCTGGGAAATCGAGGGCTGTATTTCCCGTGAGGCGGATTGGCTTGTCGTGGAGCGGTAGGCCCGGATGGTCTGAGGCCTGCAGGTGCCGAGCTGTTTCGTGGAGTTACACGCAGAGGTGGAGGAAACAAGCTGTAGATTGGTTTATCGGGGAGTAGTTGTGAGGATGTTCGGTGGCTTGCTGGGGTAACCGGGTCGATGGGGGAATGGTTCGATGATTTTGAGGGAGGCGGATGTACAGCAAGTGCGATCTCCTCCTCCGGATCCATACTCCTCTGATATCGATTCCAACCATCGTCGCTAGAGCTGGCGGGAGTAACTATTCTCAGCTCTCTGCGGGGTGGAGGTGCAGCTACAACTGCAGGGGGACTGCTAGGCTGAGGATGATTTTCAAACTCTCCACCACCAATGGCAGCCATGTCAGGCGTAGTCTCCTGACTGTCTATGATCTTGTCACCACCAAAAGACCAACCACTGTGCCGGTTACGATGCTTTCTCCGAAGGCAAAAAACAAGGAAACAAAGGCCAAATGCAATGGCAGCGGCACCAACACCAGCAACCGTAACGCCTGCGATCTGGGGCTTTGTAAGGATAGGCTTTGCCGCTGCCGCTGCCGCTACGGCCGAAGATGAAGTTGCGGCTGCAACTGACATCGTAGAAGAGGTTGATGTTGTAGTAGGGGTAACATTTAGTCCAACGCCACCAGATGCAACCTTTGTTGTTCGAGCATAGTCTAAAGAAGATGTGGACTTAGGAAAAGGTGAAGGTGATCCTGTCGCTGTAGCAATTATTGTATTGGTCCCCAACGCCGCGCTTGATGCACCAGGAAAAACAGACCCCGAATCAGAATTGTAAGAAAAATTGTTGCTGTTCGTTAGAGTCGCTCTGACCCCGCCAGTCGCAGATACGATGGTCGTTGAAGTTGCGGTAAGTGTAGAATGTGTGTTTGGTTTGGCTCCTTGAACGGTCGCGCAAACCTCGTAGACCTGGAGGGCAATCGAATTGTCAAAATCATAGTCCGGGCATTCGGAGTACAGGCACTCAAGCCCGCCTTCACCAATGGTCAAGCCGGATGCGCTACTGCTAATACATAAACAGTCGGAGTCTGGAGGTGTCCCACAGGACGAAGAAGGGAAGTTGGTGGTAATGAATGACACGAGGCACTCTTGGGCGCAGGGGGGTATTACTTGGGCAAGAGTTGGTGTCAAAGATCCCATAGAGGCTGGGCCAGCCAGTGTCCAGGGTATGAGAAGAAAATGAAGAAAGGAGCCTAGGAAAAAGGCCATGGATATGCCGTGAAAGAACTGCATTCATATTAGCTACCGAGGAGGGATGATACTGAAAGACGTAGGGGATCGGCAGGGTGGTAGATGAAGTAAAGAAGCAAGGGTGGTGACGAAGTGCAAGAGGCTTGAGGAGTCCGACGTGCATATGTGGGAATGGCAGAGTGCGTGACTGATCATGGCTGTGTAGCGTCTATACATAAAGCTTAGGGGGAAAAATAACTGACCTGGAAAAACTGCGGAATACCACCAAGACATGAAGCCAGCTCCTATGCAATGCAAAATGACGCAGAATGAACGTTTGGCAGGAAATGTCAATGAAATGGAGAGAAGATGAAAATGACAAGAAAGAAATGAAGAAGGAGAAACAACGAAACATGAGAACTGCAGAGGCAGGCGCCCATGATCTATCTATCTTTTTGTTGTCTTGACCATAGGAGAGGGGCAGCATTGGAGTCATCAGGGTAAGCTAGTTAAGGATAGTAGGCGAGTACCCATTGATAGATCTGAAGGTAAGCGCTTAGATCAAGGGAGTTAATGTCGTCCAACAGAAGACGACTCTGTGACATGTTCTGGAGTAAGAGAATGTGGAAAATGAATGGTTGAGAGTGCCTGCCTCTGCCTGCCTGCTTGCCTGCGTGCCTGCACACAAGTGTGCCGAGTGCCCCTCATCAGCGAAACGCCGACGTGGGCGCGTATAAATAGACTATACTATCCCCTTTCCGTCAACGGCTTCTCCCTAAGCCTCAAGAACCTGCGAATCTCACCCATCTAAAGTAAAGTCAATTGTGTAGGCGAAGCTATTGCAAGCCGCAGCGACCATGACAGCAGTATGCTCAATTAACTCGACAATTCTTTGGTGCGATCGTAAAGAGGCTCGCCACAGCTGGTATGCCTTGGAGCATGATCAGAAAAGAATAGGAATTTTCTAAGGGCACGGAACCGGGGAACCTGCACGGAACCTGTGCCTCTTACAATAGACGAGCATTTGATTTGATGATTGTAGGGCGCACCTTTAGCCACAGACCCAGGTCATTGTGAAAACTCGTGATGCGCACATACAGAACTGGACTTGAATATTGACTGATGCTTGAATTCAAGTGCTATGATACACGACGGTCAGACTAGCTAGACCATGCCGGAGAACATAGTATTAAAGAGCAGCGCAAAATGTGCAGGCTGCGTACTGCTGTATTGACAATTGCCTCGGTCGTTCTTCACGCAGCCCGAGTCCTGAATGCAACGCTCTTCCGTAACTGCCGAGCGTCCAATGGGCGTAACGAGAGCGTTCTCGAGGGACTGCTGGTAGTGGGGAACGCGTAAAGGTATGATGACGGTAAGAAACTCCAGATGCCGGGCCGTCACGAAGGGAATGGAACAGGGCCGGAGCCTAGTACTTGAGGATGATGTATCTAGACAGGTGTAAGCGATTGAATGAGAAGGACCGCGGACAGATCGTGTTCATCGAGCACTGAAAGACCGACAGCCAAGGGACTTACAAGGCATGGATAATACCCGGAATGTAACCCAGTATTGTCAGGAGAATGTTGATGAGGAAGTCGGCATTGCAACCGCGCTCGAGGAAGACACCAAGGGGCGGGAGGATGATGGCGAGGATGATCTTGCAGATGTCGCTACAGTCAAGGTAACGTTAGTCATGATACCCATGTACGACTGGACGGACTTTCAGATCAAGCGCGAGGAAAACTGCTGCGGAGGAAAAGCGGCATGACTATTGTCGCTGTCGCGGATGAGAGAGCTCGGTATATACCTTGCAGTGAATGCCATGATGGATGAACTGAGGTCTCGAAGCTTCTGAGATATGATTTGAACGGCTCGAAAGTAGGATTTTTGTGGTTGTGGTGGTTGAGGATGAGTGTGGAAGAAGATTGCGATCGATCTATTTATTATGACATTTGCCTTCAACACGCGGAACTCGGCACCGCCACAGTGGCTGTGCAGTCACGTGGAAGGAGCGGACGTAGCACCGAAGAAAATCTTTGCTCTACAAAGCATGAGTCCAGGTCTATCAAAATCTTTGCTCGATTACCTCCGTATGACTGGCGCAGTGGGCCAGTGAGATCACCGAGACGAAGCCGGATAACAAGGGTACGCTGCCAATTATTACTATTGGCGACGCCAATTATGTGGTCAGTCCCATCCCAGCCTGCTAATTTACATCCATGCAAATGTGCCGATGTTCATATCTCATGACCTCTTGCACCGAACAAACGCCTTGACCAAGCGCAGGGTATCTCTATCCCTTGCCGATGCTCAACTGCCTTCTGCCTTTTCCTTGCCTTTATCCGGATCCAAGTAGCTCTCCGTCTCCGCCTCTTCATACTCTCCGATCAAGTCCGTGACTACAGCTCTTGCTTCATCGAATTCGCCCAGACCTTCAGCAAAAGGCGCCTCCCTTCTATACCCTTCCAGATAGGCGTTTCGTTTCCTCATCTTGTCGTATTGGACGACGATTCGCTTAAAGAGCGTCGCCACAGATGTATGATTTGCCAACATGAGACCTGAGACTCTGTGTGTGTTCTGGAGGTAGGGCGACTTCTTTGTCAATGCGACTTGTATCGATGCAGGACCCCATGGTATGAATGTTGCCAGTTGGCGTTCGCGGATCCGAAGGAGTGATTTGTGCACTTCTGTGGGATCTGCTTCTCCTTGAATGATGTTGAGTATGCTGATATAACAACTTGTCTTGCTCGGTGTCGTTGAGACCATACGATTCTTCGGTTGCAACAGTCGCCGCATCACGTCCAGTACTGTGGTCTTCCGTACCGTCTTTGCTTGCTCTACGTTGTCGCCTGTGAAGGGAGTGTAAGAGGTCATGAGGAAGTGGCATCGCGGCGTTGGAATGAGAGAAGCAACAATGCCAACAAGGTCATTGTGCATATACCCCGGGTAGCGAAGGGTGGTCGTGCTGGCGGACATGACAGTGGAGACGAGCTGGTTCGTTTGCTGGAAAGAAGGCTCTTGGACGTGAAGTCGGTCCGCAGCTATCCTTGACAAAGCGCCGTTGTCGAGCACGACCACCGAGTCCGCATTCTGTATCAGCCGCCGCATAGCGAGCAAGCTGTTGTATGGATTGACCACCACATCTCCGCCTCCTTGTGTGTCCGGAAATACCGAATACGTCTGTATCAGCTTCTTAGGGAATCTGTCGTTCATTCGCTCCAATATGTAGCTGCCCAAACCTGACCCTGTACCACCAGCAATTGAATGAAGGAGCATGAAACCCTGTTGACTACTGTCAACCCTTGTATGTTTCAAAAGAGTCCCCAGACAGACTTACCTCTAACGAGTCGCTTCCATCGGCCTCTCGATCTATCATGTCGAACACCTCCTCTTGCACCGTGTCTCCAGCAGCGTAGCCTGCAGCCCAATTGTTTGCTGCACCACTCCCCTGCGACCCAACAAAGAAGTTCTCCGGATTGTAGATGTTTTTATATGGTCCATTTTGGATACCGTGAATCACCTTCGCGGTAACAGAAACAGATGGTCAGCCTGTCGTTGCATGTCTGGCAAGCGAAACCGGTGCGGAGTTTGACCCACTCGTGGTTCCAAGTCCAATAAGATTGCACGGGGTATGTATCGCGTATCATCGCTCTTGAAACGTATCAGCTGGCGTCAATATGTAGCAATTCTGGGAGCCCCAACCTGGTAGAAAAACACATCCTTCCTATCACCACCTTCTGTCGCAAAGTCTTCCAGATTGCCATCTTGACTGATTCCGTGTTCCAGACATAGCTGCTGCCAGAATTGACTACCGACTGCGACCACATCAGAACAGCGGTTCCAGATACACACGACTCTACATTCACGACGCGTCGGTTCGGGGCGACTCACTGCTGTTGCCGCATTGGCCAGCCTGGATGGTTATGATCTCCCTAAGGTTTCGTCAGCGATGGAGATGAAGAGAGGGTCATCTGCCACAGTACCTAGGCATGGCCAAACATTCTGCAATTACAAAGTGCGCGACACTGTTGGACACCCAAAGTTGGTGTCGCTCCCCCAAACCTCGGCTAAAGTTGAAAGCACAAATTTAAGGTTTGATGTTTTCTATTTTTGATGCACAAGGGAATGCTATCAACCCGTAAATTAACCATGTGTATAAAGAATTTATTACGGTAATTCGCTATTAAATCTTCTTCATGATGAAACTGGCCTAGAAAATGAATAATGGTCCTCGCCGACATTGGAATTGAGACTTTCGGATTTTTTTCTCTCAAAGTATCGTGGGACCTGCATGCTACTGAGACTACAATTCGTTGCCGTTCATCTCTCGTCACTATATTCAACAAGTACTCAAGAGGGAAAAAAACAAGCCCCTATAGCCAAGCGCCAGTGAAGGAGTAGCGCAGCGTGGCTGCCAAGCAAAAGCTCCTCTGCAGCGCAGAAGATGGTGAAGACGCCAATATCGCCAACTTTGGATGCGAGACCCATGCAAGGAGCCGCCGAAGCATGGTGTTGTGTACAGTCGAACCTGAGATACACATGGTAGAAAAGGAAAAGGTATCGTTGATCGCGTGTCATGATCGTGACCGGCTCGCTGCTAGCCCACTTCCCACTCTGCCGCTAGTCTTCCTTACTCCGCTGAGTCCGCTCTTGACTTCTCTGCTCTCTGCACTTCTCCTCACTGGGCTCCCGCGCATCTTGGCGACACCCAAAGTTCCGCTTCCACTGCCACTTTTTGTGCTTCCGGGTGTCTTCGGTCTGGAAGTCTTGTCAGAGGCATGCTCATCGTGGTGGGTCCAATTCTCGACATCTGAAGTCAACTCTTGGAGCGCTTCATCGTCGCCGGCAGTGCTGTATCGCGAGGTTGTAGTTGTAGTGGTGGTGTAGCTGACGGCACGCCTCTTCTCGCTGCCCATTGGCGAACGAGAGCTTGTTCGTCGGCCAAGCACTCGCAGCTCCCACTCCTCTTCATTTTCACCAGGGTCCTGTCGGTGGCTGCGCATCTCCACGATCTGATTGCCTGGATCTTCGACCACGGTATTGTCGTTGAAAGCCGCTGATGCTGCTCTTGCATACGGATGATGACGGGAATCCATCCTGCTGGTCTTCCTTGGCTGTCCTGGAGTGGGGGCTGGAAGGTTTTCGTCCATGGCATTTGAGGGACCGCTCTCATTGGCTGTGATTTCGCCTAGTGCAGATCGCTTGCCTGACTGGCTCGGGTTGGGTGGTGTCGCAGTCTGACCAATACTGGCATGACTACGGCGGATCGATTTGGTAGGCGTTGAGGGCAGCGCTGCAGCAAGCTTTTCTTTCAAGAGGTCCTCCCACCACCACTCACGGAACGTTCCTTGGTTGAGATGGAGCCAGTGCTGTTGGGGCCCGACAACCATCCCTGGTCGCATAAACCGCATGAAGGCAATGATCTCGTTGGCGGTGAAGCCATAACGGTAAATGAGATATGCTCCGATCAGACAGCCTGTGCGACCTAGTCCAGCTTTGCAATGAACAGCGATGGCCTTCTTCTTAATAGTTATCATCTCATGCGCCAGCCTGATAAACTTCTTGACCATATGTAATGGTGGGCACGTTCCGTCATCGAAGATCATGTCTAAATGATTGATGCCGAGAGCAGTGAAGTACGTGGGCGAGTAGAGTTCGGAGTTCAGACGGACGACGAGTCCGACATTGCGCTTGGAGAAGTGTGAGAGGACATTCTTAAACGGACCTGGGAGACTGCACTTCTTGACGGCTGAGAAGTTGGTAGGTACGGTGGCATATAATGGCGAATCAGGTAGTATCGGAGCTATTGGCTGATGCTGAGGGGATGCAAGCGCAATGAAATTGGGCGTGAGCCAATTGAAATCTCCTTGGTCTACCCTCTCATATCTCTCGTACCTGAAGGCTCATCAGCATTCATTCATCCAATTCGGTCATAGATACTTACTCGTCAAGCCTGAAGTCTCTGAATCCCACCAACCCCTCTTCCTTGGCCTTCCACACACCGTAAACAACATCCTGTACTCCAATGCTGAAGTCCGCTTGGCTGTACCCTGCATCTCGAAAAGGCATCAACGGTGGTTCTGCTTGCGCGATGGGTGCTAGTGCCAGATGTGGTGGCCAATTCTGTATGACAATCATGTAACAAGCCAATAAACAAGCGGCGTTTGCCCTGCTCCTCGAGTCTGGCTTGCTCCAGAACACGACTCCTCGTTCTGCATTGTTTGGGTCTCCCAAGATCTCGTGAAGGAGGACAGCGAAGCGGTAGAGATGTCCGATGTGTAATGGTCCAAAATCGGCATGGAATTTATTATAGAGTAGGTCATCGTCGACTGTGAAGTAGAAGGGAGGATGTACTTTGGGGCCTGATGGTACTGGCGTGGATTGATGTGATGATTTGGAGGAGCGCTTTGAAGGCGATTTGACAGGTGTCGCTGGATACGGGAATGGAGTGTGCTCGTTGGGAGGATGAGTATAGGATGCGAGGTAAACTCGGTCTGTGGGGCAATGTCAGCTTACATGTACGATAACTGTTACTAGTACGCCGGCAGCGAGCCCATCGCTGGCTGCAGCTACCTACTCTGGATGTACTCGATCACCTGTCCATAGCTTGTTGTACCCATAGCTGGAGCAACAGGTGCTCTTGCCGCCTGGTGCGACATGACGACAGGGCAGTCGCCGACCAACTCTGTACGGGAAACTGCAACCGTATGCTCAGAAGATGTGGAGATCTCGCTGGAAATTTGCAGGGGCTATCGTAGTTGCGAAGTTGCGATAGAGGATGAGGGCAGCTGCTTGTTTATTTTGACACTTTAGATGTTTATCTGGACTTGAACAGATAAATGAAGCTCATGGACAGTTTGATACACCAATGCCAGTAATAATAAGCACCTCAAAGATAGGAAGGGATGCTGTCGTCGCAAGATGCAGAACAATGATGTTGTTTTTGCTTTATGTGACTGTGGGGGCTCCTGCTGTTGGCCACGAACTGGATTTCGGCAGCTCCCCACTAGCGGCAGAAAGGCTTGTCGACCTGGCAACCACGCATCTCAGCCCTATCACGATCGATCTCCACATCGTGATCCTCCTTCCATCCTCTTTCACAGCAGCGCCTTCACAGCAGCGCCTTCTGCAACATTTGCGGCTATCATGTCGGGTTCTCCTTTTGATCCAGAGTTCCCGTGCTCCTTGTGATTTTCCTTGCTTGCTACGCTTCTTGATTATACCTGCTAAACGACATATAGAATCATCTCTGTTCCGCTTCCCACACACCGATTAGCATCCTCCGCACTCCGCGCACTCAGCGTAGACGCCGAACTTTCGCCTCTCGTCCACCGTTCTTTCTCTCTCGCATGCCCATATGCTTTCTACGGCCTCGCCACCAACGGCTCAACGAGCGCAGATGCAGGAGTTCGCTTAAACGGCGATGCAGCCTTGGCCATGGGAGCACAATTTGTAGGAGATGAGGAATTGACAGTTCTGCGCACAGAGTACAAGGCCACAACCAACCGCATGCTGCGAGTGGCTGTGAACGGATTTATGGAAAGTCTCGGAGTCGTATTGGGGGTCATGGAAGAGCTCGATGTTGATGTGTTGGCCGAAGAAGTTCAGTGATTGACTGCTCTCTGGACAATAAAAAGAACGAAGCCGGATGGCAAATGAGAGCCCGCGGCCCAGTGAACGCGCGAATGAGCAGAAAGGAGATGGTGGGGAATAGCGAGGCGCCGCTGAAGGCTGGCATAAATGGCCTAGTCCATGAGGCTTCCATAGGTATTTGAAGAGGGTTCGGCTGAGTCGAAATGATGCTGACGTCCAGGCAGTGACGTGTTCTCGAGAGGTTGGGGTATTTGGGAGATTGCTATAGAGCAGATGGTTCGACAGACTCAGTGCGAGACTCGAATCTAAGACTTTCACACACCTTCCTGCTGTTCATCGAAAAGTGGTAAATGATACTGGCTGTGGAGCCCCATCGCTTGGTCTCTGGATGTTATCTCTCCTACTTGCTGAATTGCTTGTAGCCTCTCAAATGGATTCATCGTGGCGTGTTTCCTGAGCATAAAGACGTTGCCATATTTGCCTTTACAAGCGGTACCCGGGTCTTTGCCTTCACTTTCCTCCCTGATTATTGGTACCGAGCCTTGAGACTGGAGCTGCTGGTTTCTGTACTTAACGTCGTCAGCGAATGGTTTGCTCGCAGATATTGGTTCGGTTTTCATTTCGGGTTTTTGTTCTGGGGTTGCCCCGTGCCTTTGATAGTCGTTGCCTGGGCCAAGGGAGAAGTGTCGCTTTATTGTGATTGGACCTGGTGCGTCTTGCGCCTCTGGTTGTAAAATCACTTGACGAGAAGGTTTTTGTTCCTGGGATGTGAATCTGACCGTGAATCTAGTACCGTCGTCTGTCTTACCCTTATTGCGATTGTTCACTGCTTTTTTCGCTGCTTTTTTCGCAATCTTCCTCGCGACGTTTTCGGAAATCTTTGGGTATCGCTCACTTTGAAATTTCGCCTCCGCAATTCTTCTACTATTCAACTTAGCTTGCATAAACCCTGGTCCTATTAATCGTTGAACTTCTTGTTTCTGATCGCGTAGTTTGGGAACTTTCTGGACCAGTGCGGTATTATATTTGCTTGTACTGGTTGGCGTCGACGGCTCTTGTGGCATCAGATCTTGTAGACGCACATTGGGAGCCTGAAGTTCTTCCCCCTTGACTTCGCCGCTGACTGGGACTTTCGAAGCTTGCCCTCGTATCGAGAGGAGCGTGTAAGGAGCATCCAGTTTCGTGGTTACTGTGTTCTTGCGGCGGACTTCATAGGCTTGTCTATACAATTCGGTCTTCAGATACTGCATCCTGTTCGCGGTGATATTCGTATTGATGAACGAAGTCTGCAGTAATTGTTAGTACTAAAGTGATGTCATGGGACTAGTCCTGTCACCTCTAAGCTCATGCCTTGCTCCGAGAGCATGCCAAAATGATTTTCCTCCACCGTTAATTCAGATTGAGCGTGGGCCTCAACCTCGGTAGTGTCAAGTACTGGCATGGCATCCATGGTCGACGGCAGAGAGCCAAAGATGAGAGTCGCAGCAGCAGCTTGATTGCTGTTCGAGAACACAGGTGTATCAAGGTTAGCAGGATCAGCATCTGAAAGCGACTTGTACACATAGAACGTAATGGTATCTCCCGGCTTTGCAACTTCTCCGAGAGCTTCACGTTTTCTCGTTTCAACGTCCTGATCGTCTCCAAACGATGGCTCAAGTGCTCGATGATGGTGGCTGTAATCTGAGTCTGGATCCAAGGCCAAAAGACCGTGCTTCTCACCCCAACCACCTCCGCCACTGAGCACTTTGTGAAGTCGACCTCCGGACAGGACGGCATACTGGATTCTTTCACGCACGGTGCCTTGAATTTGAGCAGCCCGGTCCAACGCGGCATACCTTTGAGGTCTAATGAGCGCCCAGACACCAGCTTGCTGAGCGGGTATCTGGCCTTGCTGGATGGCAGTGGATATCGCTCTTTCCAATTCTTCTGATGCAGGCGCAGCTTCGGCCAAGGCATCGCCCCCACTGATCTTGCGAACAATGTTACCGACAGCAGCTGTAATGGTCCTAGCTGGAGTAATGGGCATCAGAAGCGAATGTACGAGATGGTCAAGTTGGAGTCGCATGCCCTCATCTGCAAAGACAGCGCCCATTTGAACGATCTGCTGTGGTAACCAGGTCTTCTTACTGCACACATGTTCCGAGATAGATTCTTCGCTGCGTTGTACATTCCACCTTTGTGAGAAGAGAGTGGACGTTTTCCCATTCTGGAAAAGAGTGTTAGTCACAGGCAATTGTAATATCCGCTTTACCAAAGGCTGGGAGGCTGAGTTTTCAGAGAGTTGGGTGCGCACGCCAGGGCTCGGAGGAAGTGAGAAGGACAATGTACACCGTTGCTGGATCGTCATCGTTTCTCGTTCATCGAACATATCCTTGGGTGACCAAAGATCAGGGGCGGCAGTTTCGGAATCAAGTACGGCCACAGAGATTCCTTCGAATCCACGTTCCATTCGAGTTTTAGGTACAGAATCCACATCTGCAGAATGGCTACCTCGTAGTCTGTAAGGTGCGGTTGACCATGTTTGCGGTATTCCGTCGATTACCGCAGCCAAGAGGTCAAAATCTTGCCAGGGCTTTGTCGTCTCGACCGCCAGGCGTAGAAGGGAGGGGATGAATGTACTATCATCATCTAATAGCCGAATGTGAGCTGGAGTAACCAGAAGTACAACGAGTGGCGTTTTTCCGAAAGGGATTTTGGCTTTTCGGAGTTTCAAAGAGCCAATATTCGAAGCCTGGAGACATCAGAAAGACTTCAATCAGATCAAAGCATGATGAGATTGAGCAAGTAAGTCCATGAGACCTACAATTACTGACGAAGAAGGTGACAGCAAAGACCAGCATGTGGATGCTGGACCATTACTGATATCCTGAAGTATCGTGCCTCTTCTAGAGTTCGAGGAGAGAAATGCATAGCCATGTCTGCGAGGGATCGAATTTGAATAGAAGGGATTCCGCTTTCGGGCTGAAAGCCCACATGAAAATATGGGAAGCCTCCAGCCGATTGCGTTGGATTGCACTATCATATCAGGCTTGCATCTTTCGTGCAGTCTACCCTTGCCCGCATACGAGTCTGATTCCGACACGACAATTGTTCCTTGTCAACTCTGTTGCACCCTTTCCATGTCTGATGGGGGTTTGAGAGTGCAAAGGACTTGGCACTGGATTTGGGTTACCGTGATATAGTACGGAGGTTGGCCTGAACGATCCTGACAGCAGCCCTAACCCTACTTTGGGAAGACGGCCCTTTCGCGGAGGACATGTCGGGCCTAATACTTTAGTAATAGCCTAAAGTATAGGGCGCAATTTCAACCCACTTCCATCTAAGCGCATTATCCCCGAAATCTTTTAAACCTTCTATTCAGTTGGGGCGTTACTTGGCGCAGGAGTCTTGGCGTTTAGGACTTTGCGAGCCGACCTCCGTACTCTCAGACTCTCAGTCTACGGTGGCCAGCGCCCAGCATGGTGATATCGAGGTACAACTACCTAGCCCTGTTCCGTGAGAGACTCTTCTCCTTGCACCAGTTGTGAAATTGCGAATGCTGCCAGAACAGGGGCTCAACGAGTCTGACTCGCAGTTTGAATCTGAGTGTCTATTCCGTCGGCAAAACGATAGGTCAGGCAAAGTGAAAAGAAAGACATTATTACTCATACTGCATGCGAAAGAGCGACATACGGGTAGGAGTACAGATTGATTGATGGGTGAGAGTGAGACATCTCGCCGCACATGGTGGGTACCTACTACCTTAAGCTACTTTATTACCTACACTTGGCCCCACGGGATAGGAGCCGCGTTCAATCCTTTGATCGGCACATCTGCATATATCTGCATCGCCAATTGGTCGCTAAATGCCCAATTCTGCTATGACCGTCAGCAGTAGCTAGTAGGTAGTACCTACTACCTTACTACTCTATCCGTAAATACGGTAGAGAGGAATCGTCGAAACACGGAAATTATTCCAGACGTGGCTTGCCGAGCTCCGCTAAAATTTGATAAGATGTAAGATTGCCATGTGAAAGAAAAGAAAAGAAAAGAAAAGAAAAGAAAAGAACTTAAAGCTTCGTGAAGATGCCCAAGCTACTGTTGTTGTTTGAATAATTGGCCACGGTGCACCAAATCAACAATGTACAAATAGAGCGTTATGCAGACATCCGGCCTGTTACTCAATTCTGCAGGTGGACATGCTTGAACCAACGGGATTCCTGGCGAAATCGGACTGGCCAGTAGCACGAGTCCATCAGGGTTTTTGGAATGCTCCGATCTCTCGTGCGTGAGGAGCTGGTGGAGCGACGCTGCAAGCCACGCACCATGTGACCAAGTGACCATATAGCTAAGTAGAAAAGTAGGGAATACAGTACCGTACTTTCAAGAGTAGTAATCGGAGACATAATCATTCATATGCAGCAGTTCATCTCTACTTCATGCACATGAAATTGCGTCAATTAAGAAATGTATCTAGGTATAATCTGTATGATTATCTGTCTCCTCTGTATGATTATCGAGATCAAAGCATAAGCATAATTGATGAATGAGAATCCGCCAAGACTCAATTTCCAACTAGAACATCCTCCTGCTCTACTCACCATCCACCCCTCTCTCCATCCACCATTATCATCATCACCACTTGATCTACGATCACTTGGCTTCATACACCGTCAGAGTTGACTCTGCTCGGTATTGAGGCCGTCCATTCCTTTTTGAATCAGCTTTTTCTCTCCCCCGGTCGCTTTGTACACTCCTTCCAACGTACGTATCCAAGTCTCTTTTGCCTGTCAACTGAAGTCAAGAGTCACAGAAGCCAACCGTCTCTGACTTGCTGTCCAGATACTTACACACGCTCTTCAGCATACCTTCCAAACCTATCTTGCCGAACCAATCTAGCCAACCGCATCATACCCTCGGTCCCAAACACTCCTTGCCCATCTACACCATCCATCTACTACCCAGCTACCATTCCGCAACTCCCCCACAATCCTTTACAAGAGACCTACCCGATCTGTCCCATACCTGATGTGACGGTCACAGCATTGCTTCTGATAAATTTACAACTAGCCAAAGAAAATGGCCGAGGTGTTGCCTACGCAACCTCACCTTGGCATGGACATAGCCAAGGGCAGAGACACTTCGGGGCCATTACCAAACCCTTGTTTCGTATTTCCCATGCAACCTGAGATTACCAGTGAAGCCAGCTCTCACGCGAGAATCCCCTCGAATGCGGATGCTACTGGGTCTCGACGTTCGCCAGGTCGTTCAAGACCTCAACGCATATCAATCAACAAGCTGCCAGCATTCGATTTCAGTCCTGCTGTGTCAAGTCCAAACGATCGTACTCCAAGTCCAGCACGGTCTCCGACGAGAAGAACCCCTCCTATCCACCATGGACATCGGAGAAATAACAGCGAGTACGTTGGTGGCGATGTTACAAATGGTGGACCGGTGCTGGTAAGCGCGAGTCCCACAAAAAGTGAACAGCCTAGTGAAAGCAATACTTCGGGTGATGGCGGTGCAACTGGTGGCCCTTCAGCTGTGGGTACGACCTCTACGGAAAAAGAGGGATTATCGCATCCGCCGCCTGGGGCCCGACTCGGCCCTCCCACGAGCAGGCGTGGTCATGCTCATCGGCGCTCTGGTGCGATATCAAGTCACGATCTCTCGATGATTCTGAAACCTGCGTCTGAGATGAAAGGTGGCAGCGCACCAACAACACCTTCAGATTCTATGTTCCAGCGACCTCTTCCTCCGGAACTTGACAGATCCATTTCCCAGCCCGAACCTACGACCTCTACCCAGGAATCACTAGTTTCAGCATCACAAGATGAGCAATCACCCGATGCTGGACTGCCACGTTCTTCTCGAGTGGGGTTCTCCGATGTCTTAGAGTTTATTCCACGGCCATTGTCAACGATCTCTTCTGAGACGTCAAGCAGCATGTCAACTGTTCGCGCCAGCCATTCGGTCTCCAACAGTATCACGTCCGTGATCAGTGGAGGCAACTCGTCAAGTCCCCAGTCCACCATCGGTGCGAGGTCTGGCCGCAGACCCACACTAGAGCAAGATCTGTCTAGAGTCAGACCAGATACTGCTGGCAATTCTCCCCCTCGTGCATCCCATGACTGGCAATGGGACTTCTCGGGATTGGACTCTTCGGTGAAGCGCCCCTCTTCAGCACCTGCTGGGGGCTCTCCTTCTAAAGGCGCAAACGAGTCTTCCGGTCCCTTAATTGTGGAGACTCACCGCCAAGCCGCCAATGATCCGTTCGCGACATCTCCAGTTTCAATGTCTCCTGAAATGTCCTATAAGACCACTTCCTCTCCGACATCAAGAGCCGCCAACTTTCAAGCTCAAAGGCGGCGTCCATTTTCGCCAACCATGAGACCAAGGACGTCCCCCGAACCCAAAGTAACTAAGAGACAGCGGAAAGGAAGATCATGGGCTGGTCTCCTCTCTCGCAAGGCAAAGCACCATGATCCCAGAGCAGACTTCGTCAATTGTCGCTCACCCACGCCTCCCCTACGACAACATACACCAGAAGCCGAGTTCTCGCTCGATGACGTGTCTTTCGACGAAGATACCACTTGCATAATTGAAACCGCATCTTCCGAAGCCTCTAAGCTGCCAAGAATACAGACCAATTACGCTGCTTGGAAACCCCGAGAGACGAGTCCACTTTCAGAGACAGATTCCTCAGCCTCCATGCTTGATATCGACGCCGCTCTCGAATCTTTTGATTCTCCGAGCACAGGACCTGCCTTCGAAGATGTCATCTCCGGAGGTGTTTCAGGTTCAAAGCGTCGGATGCACAGCAGTGGGGTCACTGGAGGATTCGCAGGCCCAGGAATGCACTACCATCGTCGAGCTGAGAGTGCCCCTGAAATGGAGACCATCGATCGCTCCAAATTTGGGTTTCCACGTCTTGGTAGCAATCCCACCATGGCCATAGAGGAAGAAGAGGAAGAAGATGACGAAGAGGAGTCAACTTCGAAGCCGACGAACGTATCCGCAAAATCAGATCAAGAGGAGCTGCAAGACGATCAGGCTCCGGGCCTCGGTGTCAACATTGTGGAAGCGGAAAGCAATACTGATCGACCAATGCAGCGAGGCACGCGGCGACCCTCCAAGACATTTGCTGAGAATGATAATTCAGCTACTAGGTCAATCAATAAGCTAGACATCCCTGAGGAGTTTAGTCTGGTTGAGATTGTCGGCGCGGACGAAGAGCCTCGGTTTTCTGTTATCACCAAGTCGTCAGACGAGTCCACAATTACTCCAACATTGTCTCACGATCCATTAGACACACACCCTGTTACTGCACCTCTCGATTTCGCCATGCCGACGCCCGCTTTGACCTATGACGGAACACCAGAAACTCCATCTGCTGTGTCTTCCCCTGACTTCTCCAGGACCTCCTTTGACATGCCTCGCATGCATACCGCCTCTTCCTCCATCACCGATAGAGCAACGCTTAATTCATCTCGGGCCGGAGATCATGTTCTGACCTTGCACAGCTCCCTCGACGACGTGCCCTCGCTTACAAGTAGCGCCTCCACAATGGCAAGTGGTCACCCGCCTCGAATTTCGAGCAGCGCAAATACCTGCTCGTCGGCTGATCGCTCGGGCTCGTTCTCGGCTCCGGTTCCTGCACGTACGCGACCCGTATCGGCAGGCAAGCGCAATAGTCTTGCCAGTCTTACTCGATTGGTCGGTGGAGGCTCGTACAATAGAAGCAAATTGAACATCGAGGAATGTGTTCAGCCTGATAGTCCAGAGAAAACGGAAAAGAAGAAAGGGAACCGGATCAGTCGGTTGATGAAGTTCTGGAAGTCAAAGGAGAAGGCATCGTCTTCATAAAATACATTCTTCCTCGCGGCGCTCCGTCTTCCATGGAAGCGATGATTTGGCGTTTGAGCGATGGTTAGGTTGAGTTGGGAATACGGGTCAGATATCATGGAGCAGCTTGCACGCTTGCATTCCTGCCAGGACATTTACGGAGTTCTTCCTTTCTTCATTCATTCAATTGACGAGACGACAATATCAAAAACATCACTCAGCGGCATCATACTACCAACAACTCAACTTCTCTTGCGTATCGACAAGCTACACCTTCCTCGTTGGCTGTACTAAAGACGTGGCTCAGTATGGGCCCCTAGGTTCTATTCGACTAAGCAAGGACAACCAAAACATTCTACATCATCACCAACAGCAACAAAACCTTTATCTCTCCTCCACCCACTAAGAATTCTTGCAGCGCGTAAGCGCTACCATTAGCTCTCCGCCCGAAAGAGACGACACGAATGATTTGGATTAGATGCTCGGAGTTTCTCTTCTTGAGGATGTAGCTGTTGCTGAGGAGCGTTGTTAGGGAGGGAATTTTCCTAAATCAGAAAAGAGATGTATATGCCGGCGGATCCATTTAGCTTCAGTGAGCATAAGTAGCAATTCAATTCAATGATATCAGCGAAAACACGTGTCAGGCAAGACCACTGTCAAACCTTTCTCTTTATATCTCGTAGCTGAAGACCGGTACCAGTACCAGTGTCTAATTCTCATGTATTTGTATGCAGCCGTAGCTCTATAATATTTATAGACCTTTCGCTTAAACCGATAATGCCGCTCAGTAAACAATCATACACTCACTCATCATACACTCGTACCAATCATGAAAGTCATACCACCTGACATCAATCTACAGTCTCACCATCTTTCCTCCTCCCCATCAGCCCCGACGGACTAGCACAACCACTCCCCTCCTCACTAGCCCCTAGTCCACTATCCAAAGTTCCAGTTGCGCTCAGACTCTCGATTGGGTCGGCATCGATATCCCACTCTTCTTCTTTCTCTTCCTCCTCATCCTCCTCGTCGGTTCCATCTTCCTCTCCTTCCTCCTCATCGACGATATCATCAGCCAACCTCCCTCCACCCCTTCTACGAACGTCCGGCTCTTTGCCCCCGAAAGAGCGCTGTACAGCTCCTCGCGTATTCCAGCGCAAAGCTCGGCGCACACTTTCGAACCATTCACCGCCTGTTCCACCCTCGCCTACGACGGTGGGAAAGGGATACCGTCCAGCCTCCACGCGCACTTCGTCGCCTCGGCGGAGTTCTACGCGTCCTTTGCCGTCGAAAGAGGCGTATGCTGTGGACCTGCTGCCCTTGGGTACACAGATGCGTAGGCATAGCGTATCCGAGAGAACCATAGGTCTAAATGAGAGGGTGTGGGGGCAAATGGGCGTCAAGAGGATACCGGGTATTGAAGGATGAGTAAGAGGTCCGCCTGCCGATAGAGAGTATGCTGTACTGCCTGTCGGGGTGCTTATGATACAACCGTCGGCTTGGATGATGGTGAGGAGGTGGGTATCGCCGTAGAGTTCGAGATTTGAGACGTAGGGCGAGGGGCCGCGATCGATCACCAATTCGTTTAGGACTTCGGATTGGGAATCTTCTATCAACTCTGGTGTAGCCATCTTGGGAAGGCTGGATGTGCTAGGACGGCGCTTGTTGTTTGCTGCGCGATAGACAGTACAGGTGAAGCGCATGCGCATGTTAACTCTCATGCCGGAGCCTTCCATGATCCGGTCCAGGGTAGATCTGTAGGTGTCGAAAGGAAAATTCGTAAGGAAACCGAGGGAGCCGAGGGCAAAAGAGAGGATTGGCGGAACTATTCGCTGGAACAACCGGGAGGTGAACAGCACTGTGCCGTCTCCGCCGAGCGTGAGGACTAGGTCGAATTTTTCGGGAAAATCCCAGCATACGTCGGGCGTCCAGTAGCGGAGCATATCTGAATACCGAGGATTGGAGGCCAGAAGGCCTGCAGCATCAAAGCGGGTGGAGGTGCGGAGTTTGGCATCAACGTAGACAGTGACGCCGAGGTCTGAGTTGTAGCGGGGTGTTTTGAGAAGGAATTCGGTGAGCTCGCGAGTGAGGTATACCAGCTTGTTGTCTCTGGCTTTTGTAATGATCATGATGGTTCGGACAGCACGCTTGATGGGTCGGCGCTGGAGCTGTTTCGATATCTCTCGGACACTGGTCGCTGTTTGCATGAGGCGTGAGTGGGACATGCCATCGTCTTCTGCAGATATCTCCTCCAGTACTCGCTCAATGTTGACGGCATCGTCGAACCGTTGGTGGAAGAAACATGGCGACTGTGCAAACCGAGTTCCGAAGGACGCTCTTGGATTACTTCCCAGACCTGACATGGAAGCAGCAAGGTTCTGCTGGACAGCACTGTCATTGTGGGCGGATGGATCCTTTGACGTTCTTGAAGCCAGAGCTTTGAGCATTGTCTGGTTTGGCGTAAGCCCTGGAGGAAAGGTCCCTTTACGTTGATTCATGGAGGCCCACGAAGCGTGAAGGGGATGTGAAGGGGATGTACCCATAGGTACTGCAAGATCGAGCGGAGAATCACCGATATGTGTAGAGGCGTTTGACAGACTGCTCAATGGTTCCGTGATGTCCTCTTGGCTTACGTGTCTCCTATCATCGGTGTTCAGTGGATCGAGGTACAACTGATAGTCGCGCAGGAGCGTGCTACCGAATGTTGAGCACGGCGGTGACTTTGCCTTGCATGTACCCTCGCCTGGAGAACCAGAAGATCTGTCAGACGCCCTTGAAGGCATCTGGGTCATGGCTGTCCCGTTCGAATTCGCTCGCGGCGTCGCAGGGTTCTGCATCCTGTCAGATCCCCGAGTATCCGTATAAGTGTCACGATTGGAGAAAGGCACAAGGTTGAAAGACGAGAGGCCAAGCCTGCCTCTCACTTTGGAAAGCAAAGTGGCCAGCAAATGGCGAATGGAACAGTTGAAGGAGCAACATAGAGATGAACGACGAGAGATGTTTGATGGTGTAGGAATGCATGATGATTGATCACTCGGAGATGGATCCGGCAGCCCAGGAAAAGAAAAAAAAAGGAAGATCGGGGCCGGGCCTCGGGCAAACGCCTGTCAACGTCGCCCGGCAGACACGACCTTTGATGGGAATTCAATGGCAATGAAGGACTCTGACTTGACTTGACTTGACTTGACACCAATGTAGAGAGAGTACCTTATATCAACGCTTCGGCCAGGTCAAGAGGGTCTAACTATTTGTACAAATTACGAGTTCTAATTGAGCGGAGGACTGCATACGAGTACTTTAAGCGCATTCACCACCAAAAGCACCTACATGATGACCAAGATGACCAAGACACCAACGCTTGTGACAGTGTCCTGACTCCTACCAATCCACGATAAAGATGCGTCTTTGAAGCAATGTACTTGCACTGGTTTTGCTGGCGTCTTGTGAGCGAAAGCTTCCGCAACCCCCAAATTGGCTCCAATTCAACGCCATTTCTGGGGCCCGAGATAATGCTGCATGCGTATGGAAGGTCCAAACTAAAACGATATCACCAAGGCGATCAGGTTTGATCGATGCCTCTGGTGCCGGTCCAGATCTGATAGATAGATCGCTATCTCTGTGTCTCTTCCTGCGTATAATTCGCCCACGCTCTTCGACGTCTTTGTCATTATTGCATTTCAATGATTGGCTCTCCGACCTTGAGATTTGTGGTCGTCTTAGGATCCACCACAGTTTCATAAGAGCTTCCATTCATCAATCGATATCTTTGTTCTAGTCTTCAGCCCATACTCTCCTTCCATCTTTGCGACTTGGCGATCTTTCTTTCGACGGCGTCTTTCAGGACATTTTCCAGGTTTGAGACATCTTCCGAGTTCATGCTCATGTCTTCGCTTTCGTTTTCGCCTTTATATTCCTCTTCTCCGTGACAGATCAACTTAGCTTTCTGGTAGACTTCTTCCCACGTGTCCATCGTAAAGTCTCCCTCGCTTTCTACGACCAGTAATTCCCCATGTGACGAAAACGCGAGGACATGAATGGAAGATGCCAGCTTTATCTGTTGCACCGAGGGGTCAGGTATCAGTGTATCCTTTGAGTTGACAGCAACGAGCGTTGCTGTCAATGTCATCGAAAGGGGTATGGAGGTCGAGATCAGAGCCAAGATCGAGGCCTGCAAGAGAGCGGGTAGGACTGGGAGATTCTGGATCTTTTTGTTAGATCGAGCAAGCACCTTACATATGCTTAGAGCCTACAGAAGCAGCTTGGGGCAGATTGCCAGTGACAGAGCCATCTTCTGGGCTGGTAACGATTTGAAGCGTGAATTGGATCAGACTGCGTGGGTGTGCTGAGACTAGTATGACACGGCGGAGGGTGTTTTGAATAATGGATTCGAGATGCCTTTCTCGTAACCCTAGATCTGTATCAGCAAATATTTCCCTTATGGGACTGCGACCCGATACTTACCACCTACACCGGCAGCTGGCCTTACCGCAATGTCAACAGCTGCTTCTTCGGGCAACTCATCTCTTCTCTGCACCTCAATGGGGCCATTGACGGCAGCGATCACGGAGTAGCCGGCTTTTGAGTATTTTGCAGAGCCATCTGCGCGGTACAGTGGGGACAACGTAATGTTTGCCATTAAAGGTTGGGAAACGTTGTCTTTGTGTGTGGAGTCACAAATTTGCTCCTCGTTGAAAAAAATTCACTGTAGCTACCCAGCGCTCAGATCCCAACCCTAAGTTCTGGTGACTCTGACAAGATGATTTGCTTTCCTATGTTTACAACGCAAATGATCCACTTCAGTAGGCAAAAAAAAGCTTGGACATGCCTTCAACGATCGGCACGGAACACGTGCCCAATCCAATAAGCACAGATGGCCAAAGAAAGCTCCCGCGTCTCATTCCCCGCAAGAAAGCTCCTTCGCAGAACGCTCTCCCAGTACCAGGGACACCAAACCTTCCACCTCCATCAGACTCATCCATTCTGATCTTCCAAGAGCCCACCCGACGTATCTTGTCCTCCCACGACCATGGTATCTTCCTCTCATCTCCAACATACTCCCTCATCCTCTCCTTCGTCTTTTCTCTCTCCGAGTCGGCAACAGACAAGAAAATCTCCTCGGTCGATGTTCCGACCACACACCCAAGCATTCATAAGATACTCTCCATACTCGACTCGATCGAGGAAACAATAACTCGGTGTCCGCCTGGCGACCAAGGTGGTTCGCGCTTCGGCAACCCTGCCTTTCGTGATTTCATAGACAGCATCTCAAGCCAGAGCCAGTCCTGGCATCAACGCCTTGGTTTGCACTCTCAGTCGTCGATCGAAGAAGCCTCGATTTACCTTTATCACTCTTTTGGAAACAGACAACGCATAGATTATGGATCCGGCCATGAGCTCAACTTCGTTATGTGGCTTCTCTGCCTCAACCGACTCTCGCTGCTCCCCACATCCACATTTTCAGCGCTCACTTTGGCTGTCTTCCCTCGCTACATCAAAACTCTGCGGAGGTTACAGAGCACTTATTACCTCGAGCCCGCCGGCTCGCACGGTGTCTGGGGTCTCGACGACTACCACTTCCTCCCCTTCCTCTTTGGCGCATCGCAGCTGCTACATCATCCTTACATAAGACCGCTGAGTATTCATAATGAAATCATGCTCGAAGAAGAGGGCGGTGAGTACCTTTACCTAGACATGGTCCGCTTCACCATGGCCTCGAAAACCGTCAAAGGCCTCAAATGGACACAGCCAATGCTCGACGACATCTCAGCCGCTAAGAATTGGGAGAAAGTGGAACAAGGCATGCGCCGCATGTTTGTGAAAGAAGTATTGGGGAAGTTGCCTGTTATGCAGCATTTCCTATTTGGCAGTCTGGTGCCTGCAGAGGGCATGAGTAGGGAGGAAGACGCGGGAGTCGCACCTGAGAGTGAGGAGAAGGAAGGTGGAGAACTGACGGTGGGCGAGAATGGAGTGGGGCATGTGCATAGAGATGATGCTTGGGGTGATTGCTGTGGGATTAAGATTCCGAGCACTGTTGCTGCGGCGCAGGAGGCCAAGAAAAGAGGGGAGGGGGATGGGCTGAGGAGGGTACCGTTTGACTGATTCGGGAGACTGTACTCTGGAGTTGCCATTTGAAAAATCAGCATAAGCAATTCCACGATGTTCTAGCACTTCAAGATCCCCAATCGCCGCAGAGGTATCTCCGAGTCACAAGATCCAAATACTGCATTCGCTAAAAACAACGACAGGCTTCTCCCATCTCGGCTCACTTTCTACACGCTAAGTACTGTCCGTGCGGAAAGTGGACATGGAAACTGCAAAATGGCATAGTCTCATTGATACATTCACATACAGTAATTTCAAATAGCAAAGCGGCCGTTCCCAAGGATATCTCACCCAGAAAGCAGGGGTGGCCATCTGATCACCAGCGAAGGAGCATTTACTTACCCCTGACAAAAGACTCAACTCATGAAGTACGTTTTCCTTCAGATACTCAAACACCGGCCGCAAGGCCGAAAAAGGCAACGGACTAAGTTCTTCAAGTCTGAAATACATCTGGCTCGAAGAATCTTATGCATATACCACAGCCAGCACACTGTGAAGATGAATCTTGCGATCGAGTACCACCCCCAGCCGTCGTCCTGAACCGTTGTCCCCTCCTGACCTCTCGTGCGATCACAAATGGATCCCTCGGCTTTATCGTTAGCTACGAAAGTTCTCTGGTAACCCCAAATGACAAAATCCTTGAATTGGATCGCTGGTGCTTCCACGGCAATGCAGAGGAACCACATGCCGAATCGATCCTGGAATATGGCTCGGCCTGTAGAGTAAGACGTAGGTGGTCAGTGCGTGGAGAAAGGTTAATGAAACCATTGTAAAGCAGAGTGTCGTGTATGAAGATAGCGGTGTCACACATTCGATAACGAGGAGTTCGACGAGCGCATTGCTGTAGCCGAGGAAAAGCTTGCGAGGGAGGACAGGCCAGACCGTATTCCAGAATTTGCGAATACCGGTTGAGTCTTCGATGAGGCCGAGAAGAGGGGGGGGGGGCTAGTCCTGTTAGTGGTAGTTGATCAGAGGAAATCTGACCATTTAAGAAGGGTAAGAGGTGATTTGGGAGGCAAGCCTTTAGTAGGCTCAGGCCTTCTAGTACCGCCACTATCGCCATCTGCATGTAAACATAGCTCACCTGGAGACAAGTCCGAGCTCGGAGACGGTGAGATACAAAAATAAGCGGGACTAAGAAGTACTGGATCGGGTCATGAGCTCTATATAATCGTTTCTAGGCATGAAGGAAGCCCTCGAAACATAAACATCTTGCGCGTCAGTGGCTAGGTAGCAAATAGCAGGCCTCTCAAAAAGCCCGATCTCGCATGCGAAAGTGTGTACTCCGGCACGCCTCTGACCTGGTAGTTCTACTCAAAACCCGCGGAGACTGCAATATATTGCTGCACACCAGCGAAAGTACTAATGGAGGACATACCCACAGCTTCGACTTTTGGCTTATCTTGACGCCCATATTCTCGCTCTGGGTGGAAAACAGGGGCTTTTCGACCGTGGATAAGTACCAGAGCTATGGGCATGACGTGAGGAAGCAAAGCTGGAGGGACTTGGCGAGGTGGGTGGGTGGAGAGGGTTAGGTATGCTAGTCCCAAGATTAAGGGGACGAAGATGAAGGCTCGGCCTTTTAAGGGAGGGAGAGCGAAAGCGAGGATCTGGACTGTTGGGAGGAGAACAATGGAGAGCATCCTTCACTTTTTTTTTTTATCTGGGAAGGTCTGGTCATGCTGGATGTTGCTCTTCATGATTGGAGCAGGATTTAAGTCAGTGCTGCGAAGTCAGGGGTTTGGAATTTGGAGATCAGGCTTCTTACAGAAAAACAACGGCAGAGGTGCTTAAGATGTATCTGGAAAATTGCGGCTCTTTTCCAGATTGAACTTACTGATCAAGTATTATGCTTGTTGCAGCCTTAGCAGTACCTACGTACAGGCTTATCGACCTTAGCTGGTATGTCCCGCATGAAGTAAAGATCCTAGTACCAGCTAGGTAAATGAGACTCGTCACAGTCGGTCCACAAAAGCGCAGAGGATGATAGCAGGTTATGGTACACAAGTCGGTAGAACTGGGAAAGCGAGACGAAGGTCCTCGTTCAATGGCACACAGTCTGCACAAGGACTTAAAACATAAGCCTGCTCTGGGTTCCCATGGTTTAAAGAATGTGATTTCATCGAACAAGCGTTGTCGTGAGCCTGGTCCTGGAGAGAGTAAATGATTGGAGACCCATAGAACCATAGATGCATGATGGGTTTGTCTTGGTACGATTATTCCTCAAAGTCGTGTGATCAAGAGTTATGTTGTCGAGAGCGAGTGGTGCAAGGGCACCCAAACAGCCGAGGTCCAGCGCCAAGCTTCCCCAGATTCCGACCAAACAAAAGATCGAGCTGAGCTATACATTGAGAGGAAAACATTCCCGCAAAGAACACACCTCCCATCAATCTTGGATCAGTCCACCGACCATCGCTCCCACAATGGCCACCTCCCGCTCCCCCACACCTCCCTCCACCAAACGCCTCCTCCAAGAGCTCAAATCCATCGTCGAAGATCCATCCCCGATCCTCCAATCCCTGAGCCCCGCGTCAGAAGCCGAGATACTGCACTGGGAAGCCGTCATGAAGGGTTTCCCTGGTACAGCTTACGAAGGTAATCTATCTGCACCCACCCATTTTTTCTCCAGCTCCACCACTGAACCACCCCTTCCCCCCCCCGCTAGCCGGTCTCTGGCACCTCGACATCCTCATCCCGCCCTCCTACCCGCTCGCCCCGCCCAAGATCACCTTCACAACTCCCATCTGCCACCCAAACGTGGATTTCAAAACCGGCGAAATCTGCCTCGATCTCCTGAAAACGTCGTGGTCACCTGCGTACACGCTCACATCTACATTGGAGGCTGTACACCAGTTGCTTGCGTATCCGGAGGTGGATAGTCCGTTCAATGTGGATATAGCGACGCTGTTGAAGAGTGGGGATAAGATTGGCGGGGAGAGTTTGGTCCGATTTTGGTGTGCGGAGAGGAGGTGGGGTGGCGGTTAAATAGATGGGGGTAGGGTTCGGTCAAGGAGGGAATAGTGCAAAAGAGGCGGATTGGATTGCGCGGTTTAGCGAATGAGCAAGGTGTTTGGGGACAGCTGGACAAATAGCGCAGAGGCCCAGAATAGGAAGGCCATCAAATTCGATACGTGATGTGAATGCGATAGCCAACTGCACTGAATGCGTCTACATATATTTCTATGTAATCTTAGGCTCTTAACCACCAAGAAAACGCTCGAGTCTCTTCCACCCTTCTCCAAATCCAGTTACTACTTTATTCTCACCCTCACCCTCCTCGTTCCCCTCCGCCTTCCCCTCCCCCCTCTTCATTTCCTTCTGCATTCTCCGCCTCCTCACCCGCCTCCTCACCCCCATCCGAAGGCTAGTCAGGGCGTATCATTGTAGATGTCATCATACGTCTCCGGCACTATGATATAACTTGGATACCCCGGATCGACCTGCGAGCCACTAGCGCATTTCGGAGTCAGCCTTCCGACCCGTAGACAACATTTTGGATAAGTATGACATATTTGAGAAGTAAAATGGGTGGCATATTGAATGAGTTCCTGCAACATGTCTCGCGACTTGCAAAGCAGTCTCGAGCAGGAAGGAAGAACTCCGAAAAGTGCCTTACTTTGTTCCCACATCGGGTAGTGTCTGCAAATTCACAGCCGCGACGTTGAATTGCCCGCCTTGAGATGGGAAACAGGTCGATTGCATCAGCTGGTAGATATCAGTGCGGCAATTTTTCCATTGGAGTACGGGTGATGCGGCGGGGCGGGGATTGAACCAGATGCCCACTGTACAATTAGGACCCTGTGTCAACACTCAAGTTAGAGTTTATTTCTCATCATGCTTGGGGGCTGATAGAGCAAGAAGAAGAAAATGCAGGCATACCCCTCTCGACCAAGTCCATTGTGATGCGTTTACTTGACTCGAGACTATCCAAGCGCAGATGATGTTAATGTTGCTGAGGCAGGATGTAGTATTAATACTCTGATTCCAGCTCGGATTCGCGTTGAGGCATTGCACGCCATATATACTGGGGGCGTCGGTGTAGGTCGTGTTTATCTGGCTGCAGGTATTGAGGGTGGATTCGAAATCCGTTTGATTGCCTTGTGGACCGCACTAGATTACAATCTCGTCGTCAGTATTACCTATTTGAGGAGGTATATCGAGCCTTGAAACATGTTTCGAGAGTGAAAATCCCCGAGACAATTCTCAAGACTCAAGATTTGCTCCAAAAGAAGAAATATGTGCTCCGAAAATACGTACAGGGTCACCAGCGCCACGGTGGGAGACGGTTGTGGATCTGGCGGGGGTGGCAGAGGAGGTTTGGATGTGTGAGATTCGGCTGGAGGTTGGGCTTGCGCTTCGGGAGTTGGTTTGGGGAGGGGTGTATGGCGGAGCTTCTCCCTGAGGTTTGACATGGCTGTAAATATTATAATTGAGAGGGGCAGACAGAATGGTGGCGGAGAAAGTGGAATTGATGAGTGTGAGGATGGAGATAAGTAGGAGTGATAGAGGGAAAGTCATTGCTGATGCTGTGGCGATACTAGATTGATAATGGCTGAGGACGATTTGGTGAGTTGGAGAGATGTTGATGGGGATGAAGCTTATAGAACGAATTTTGATAGAAGATTGATCGGAGGTACAAGCGACCCGTCAGAAAGAGCCTTCTAACGCCGGTGAAGCATTGCCGTCGCTAGGAGTGTTCTTCTGCCCGAGATTGACAATTAGCTCATCGCGAAGAATATACGCGACGAAACAGAACTTCAAACGGTTCCACAACCCTGAAGCGACATTTGCGAGTCGCCCCTACCATCAGCTTCGTTTTGAGGTTTCAACATTGCGGAAGGCGAGGAATAGCATCAACCAGGATAAATCGTCGTTTATGATTGATTTTCTTTCAAGGAAAATATTGAATGGCGCAAAAATTCCTCGCTGATGCTGCTAATTGTCAGGATTCTGAAGATTTATATCATCCGTTTCGATTGTCACCTTTTCGTGATACCGTGCCTAGCGGGCGAGCACAACGTTAAGTATTGAATATGGAACCGATAGTGTTCAAATGCTAGAACTCCCCCAGGCTTACTTTCCGCCTGGATCGGGGTGATGATGTTTTATTTTCTGAAAGGAGTAGGGTTCGACTGAATCAATCAAAATGAGAAATGGACTGAGAAACTGTCTGGAAGATCGAGCGAAGTGTGCATAGCGTGTGAACAGCGCAAGAGGTATATTCGCAGTGAATTTTATGAAACGAGACGCAAAAGGGCATTTTTGCAGTCATCCAAAATATATGGTGACGTTGGCATGAAAAATTAGATGATATCTGCATTCGGTCCCGGTAATATAACATGCACAAAGCCGTTCTACCTGTGGCTTTTCGTCCCTCCATATAACTCCGGGAATGACCTTGCTTCTGCATATGCAAACCTGTAGTAGCCCGACAGGTGGAAGAAGAAGTGACAAATGGTGCCCTCATACAAAAAGAAAATAGTCAGTGCCGTACACTACTCGTTATAGTGGTATACCTAAAGAATCATGTCAGCACTCCCGGCCTGACTCTCCGGATATCTTCGAAAAGTGCTCACGAAATAATTCGGTAGACCAAAACATCCCCAACCTAATCTTCTCGCCATCTTTGCGAAACCCTCCGTCTCTATTAGGTGGTAGAATGGAAATGGTGGGAACATGGCTCCGTCTCGATGTACTTCTGCCTTTACCAAAAGTGCCGTACCTCCAACACCATCTAGTGGTATTATGGCCTGCTGATTTCGAGTCTCTGACCTGTCTGCTGTCATAGCCATCAATGTTCTATACGTCGCAATATCCGCGTAGCCTTCGAAAATAATATCTTCCGGTCCCATATCCCTCGCCATATCTGCAGCTACCTGACTATCCTGCCACGAATTGTAGTCGTATGGCCTTGTGTCGGGCTTGTTTTCTTCATTGGTAAATCTTTGGAAGCAATTCGGCACAAGTACAGGTTTGTCATGGAAAGCTAGGTCTTGTATCAATGTTGGAGGTGTCTCGACAATGTCAGCATCCAGCCATAGAACCCAAGAGGTGGAAGGACCAAGGGTCGTGAATAAAAGTGAGTTTCGAGCTCGGGACATGGCCGCTCGCCGCGCCTTTTGATTCTCCTTCTTATGCCTCTCTGACTCGTCTTGTGAAGAAATCGGCGGATCAAAGTCTTGCCTAAGGATTGTCACGCTTGCAAACCGCTTGCCTTCTGGGCCTTGTTGAGTGGTTGCTATGGCAGCTTGTAGTGCCGCGGTTGCAGTATGGCCTTCCTTTGTTTTAGGGATGATGAAACCAAGCGCGATCAGAGAGTGTGGGTATGAGAGTGCGAGGAGGTTGTTCCAGTAGCCCTGATAGAATCGAGCGAGAGGTGTAAGGATGAGGACGGTTTCTTGGTTGCCGATAGGGTCGGCGGTGGTCGTGACATTGTTAAGGTGGTAATGGACGACCGGCGGCGGTTTGCTCAGGCCATTGAGCGAGGCATCTGGCTTCACGAATGGAGCGGTGGGAGGTGATAGAGGATGAGCGGCGGCATTGGCGATTTTTCGCTTGGCGGTCGAGACTGCACCTGAATTGGACGATGGAGCAAAGAGGAAGACGAGGAAGCCGAAGGACAGTACAGCTGCCAATATCAGGGTTATAGGAGATGTCCGTCGTATTGATCTGGGTAGAGCCATGGTGTAGCCCGGGGAGTTACCTGGAGGTCCTTGAGAAATCTTGGATCCCCGAGCGAGGTACTCCCTCGTGAGGCCAGACGGAGCGGGTTATGGCCCTTACTTTAGATTGACCATCAGCGTGTCGAAGTCATGCTAGTGTTGGCAATCTCATAGCATCAGATGTTATAGGTTTACGCGAATTGGTGGAATCCTGGTGAGAGCTCCGTCGACGTTCAAGTCGTCGTGGTTACAAAAGGGTACCCTTACAGAAACGACTTGTCCAAGTCAGATTTGCTCCTCGACTAGAGCCTAAAAGTGACTAGCGATTCAAGAGAGCGGGAGCTAAAGATGGCGCTAAGCCTCTCCAGTTCTCGGTTCCACGCGGCAGAGATAGGTAAAGCCTGCACATCTTGTTCTGAAACCCATCGCAATACGCACTACACCTTGGTAATTGGCCAGAGTGAATGAAATCAATCACGAGTGCCTGTCTTCGTTGCGACCTTCGAGTAGGCCCGTCAGTCAATGCTTTTACTTTGGAGCTGGACTGTTCTCGAGTGACAGGTTGAGAGCTGTTTCAGTAGTCTAGGAAAATATTGTATCCTTCATCCTCGAAATCTTAGCTTTCCCTGGGCCTTAGAATGATCAAGCTTCATCAATCACGCTACTAGAGTAGTCAATCAGTTCTGTAGCTGACGAAACATCTGATCACATTCACGAGTCACAACTCGAAAGAAGAGCCCACCAAAAGCCCAAGAAGAGGCTGGCATTGAGCAGAGAAGCGGCCAACGCATGGACAGAGATCATGGGTGACATCAAGAAAGAGCTGGCCAATGGCACTGGCTTCATATTGATGTCGTGTTATCCCTCGATCCGAATTTCTCACTAATTGCTCTTCCTTTCGGCTTTCGGACTGCAGCGGGACATTACCTCGTATAGTACCTTGACCATAGTGAAGAGCCGGCCTCGCGTTCTGACCTTTACGCCTCGGTCCCTTTTCTCACCGTACGCAAGTGCCGCTCAATAAAGCCGATTTCTCCTCCTTTCCCTTTTTTAGAAGGTTGCTTGCCTCTGCACTCAATGCTGCTGTGTGCTTCCGGAGAAACAATTCCTCAACAGTTCCAGGAATAGGAAATCGGGCTAGGGGGCAAGAAGACCAATTCATGATTTTGCATTGCTTGTGGGCTAGGGTGAGAAAACCTGAGTAGGCGACGTCATCAAAGTAGAGGACCGATACGAGAAGGTCTACAGAGTCTGCTCAGCGTTTCTCGAAAAACTAGAGAGGTTCAGGGGCTGTTCTGAGCACGGACTGGCAAAGGCAACATGCAATCTGGAGCGCCAGAGACATTCCGCTGCCTCAACAGTGGCCCACACTTCCAACCGCAACAACACATGGGCGTACCTGGATTGAAAAGCATGATTCGAAAGGATCAAATGGCCATCTTTGTCGGAGTCGCGGTGGCGGGGCCTGTTGAGGTGAATATTTTGCCTTTTCTCACGAGAACAACGATAGGGCCGGAACACCACTGGCCGTCTATATACGGACAGAACACCGCCGTAACGAAGGAAGTCTCCAAGCTCTGCAACAATATTGCGCTAGCAGGAAAACCGATGCTGAAGCTAGAAACCATCATCAATACCTCTCTGCTTTTCCTCCCTTAGTCTCTCCATATTCGCCTCGGTCCACCACCTGTGCGTTGGATTACTCTCTTCCCCCAATTTCTCATCCCAAGGCTTTGGGCTAAGTAAGTAATGCATGTTCTTCACCTCATCGTCCCTCCAGATCGGTGCGTGTGTTTCACGAGAGGTCTTTAATGCGTTGTAAGTGTATGGTAGGGCGACCCATCTGCCTGAAAAGAGGTCGGAGAGGAGCGATTGGTCTGCGAATTCGTAGTTCATGACCGCGCTGTCTGAAGCCATGCGTTCTTGGATGAGGTCGTAGAGGGTTTTGGAGGGATTGACGACTTGGAGACCGCCGTTGGGAATGCCTAAGCCTGAAGTAGAAGAGGCGCCTTGAGTTTGGGCGGCATCGGGGTGGTCGTGTTGTGAGGTGTAGGCACAGTTCTCTGGGGTCCTGGACGGCAAATCAGTCGACAGCTTATACAAAGACCTGAAGGTATCAACTACTATATTACTCACCAATCCTTAGGATAATGCGGCTTCTTCTTCGGATTGCAGACACAAGCATGACTAGCCGCAAACACCCTGTTCCCTTTCCCCTCACTTTCAGGAGCGTCGAGCTCAATTTCCATAAGCTCATCCATATTCCTCATCACCATCATGTCGCTGTCCAACTGGACAACCCTGTCATACTCCTCTAGGGAAAAGGGTGTGAGCTTGCTCCAGCAGTCATAGAAGCGAGGGTCGTTGGTAAAATCTTTGTGGACGGCGGGAAGGAGGTATTTGACTCGCTTCTTGGGGATTTTACGGATCTCGAGAGCGCGGTGACCTTCTGGAGGAAATGTGTCGGTATATAGAGCAAGGAGAGGGTACTCAGAGCCATGCTTTTTGAGAGAGTAGTCTAGGGTGAGAAGGCCGGAGAGATAAGCTGTGTTTGTTATAAGAGTTGTCCATACTTTATGGTATCAGCAGTTGGCCACAGGCTCCTGGGATGCGGTGGGTACCTTTTTTCGAGTCAACGACTCGAGTGGTATCAGGATTGGTTGAGTTGGCCATCTTCGTGTTTGTTTATGTACTTGCCGGAGAGTTCACAGCTGCGGCAAGTCTCGTAAAACAGTACTACTCGTACAATCTGCAATCCCCATCTTGACCACATGGGCCGGAGTTATTGGCTGGACACCGGACCCTGCCGATCTCAAAGATGCAGTCGAATGGTGGATTTAAGCAAGCTCAAGCTGCGTATCTCCGAGATGGTTCGATCACCTCGTGCCATGATGTCGATGATATTTCATCCCTGCACAATCAATCCATCCACTGCCCAGTAGAGTGTGTAGAGGCATTGTGTACTCTGTGCTAAAAGCTATGTTCCCACGTTCTCTCTATCTGCCATGATATAGGCAGCCAGTCTCTTTGTCCTGAAAAGCCCTGGTCTATCTATTTACCTGTTTTCCGTCTCATGTCCTCAGTACAGACTTCCATTGTGAATCCGGACAGAAAAAATGCAACCAATGAAGCAATCGGTCAAGGCCAGCCTGCTCGAAGTGCTCAGCACAAGAACTACAAAGGATTCGTGGCTGGTGTATTTTCCGGCATTTCAAAGTTGAGCGGTATATTTAATACCAAGATCCGTTGAGAAGGAGACACTGCTAATTCTGTCTTTTAGTTGGACATCCGTACGTTCACTAAACAATTTGAGAAAGCTTGACTTCGAAATAGGGCTTATGTTCGTTAGCTTCGATACCATCAAAGTCCGACTTCAGACCAGTGAGAAGGTGCAGTTTAAAGGTCCTCTGGATTGTCTGCTGCAGACATTACGGCATGAGGGTGTACGAGGCCTCTACAAGGGGGCTACGCCGCCGTTGGTGGGATGGATGTTCATGGACTCAATGTACGACCAATCGTTTTCCATAGTTGATCGCTCTGCTGACGACTGAAATTCAGAATGCTAGGCTCACTTACCTTCTACCGCCGAATCCTAAAAGACAATGTCTTCTCCAACCCATCGATCCTGACCATTTCTCGGGCAACCAGTCGCAAATTCGAAAACACCAATCGACAGGTGGAAGACAGCCTTCCTACGACTGGACATGGTATAGCAGGAATAATGGCTGGTGGTACGGTGAGCTTCATTGCAGCACCCGTAGAGCACGTCAAGGCTCGTCTACAAGTTCAGTACGCAGCAGACAAGAGCAAGCGATTGTACAGTGGTCCAATTGACTGCATCACGAAAATAGTTTGTGACTCCTGCCCAGAGGTCGTATCACCAGCGATAAGCGCGTGCTGACGCAACATTTCAGGCTCGAGCCCACGGAATACGGGGCATATACCACGGTCTTTCGGCCACCCTTCTCTTTCGCTCTTTCTTCTTCTTCTGGTGGGGCTCCTATGACCTTTTCACCCGCTACTTCTCTGACCACACGCAACTCTCCACGCCTTCCACCAACTTTTGGGCCGGTGGTCTTTCAGCCCAAGTCTTCTGGCTTACCTCATACCCATCTGATGTCGTCAAGCAGCGAATCATGACTGATCCACTCGGTGGTGCGCTAAGAGATGGAGAAAGGCGATTCCCAAGGTGGAAGGACGCGGCGAAGGAGATATGGCGAAGAGATGGGCCAAGAGGCTTCTGGAGGGGCTTTGTGCCGTGCTTCTTGAGAGCTTTTCCCGCGAATGCTTTTGCCCTGGTTGCCTTTGAAGGAGTCATGAGAGGCCTTCCTGAATGAAACAACAGCGCTGAATGTGTATGATACCCGACACTCCACTTCAATGAAATATTACGGTAAGATCGAATATCAAGAATGCTTCCTGTAGCAATATCGAGACACGTGTGTATTTGCAGCGAGACCTAGAAGTGTAGACTTCTTGGGACCTTGCCTGAAGCGTGAATGTGTTTTTGGATCAAACTGACTTCTTCCATGAGACATTTAATCATTTTTCCCGCATTTACTCCTTGGTACGTCTAACCCCAACCCCTTGCTATCGCTTTTGTGACCACTTATCAACTATCGGTCTCCTATGTAGTTTTCAGCATTGTCCCCGTCAGCCTGTTGCCCTCAGCCGTTCTGGGCGACCTGCATTGGCGTCAAAATCATAGGCACCTGCGTCAAGGGGAGCTCGCGTATCGGGTTGGCATTTTCTTCTTCCCCATTTGATACTCATGAATGCGTGATGTCGCTGATCGGCCGACGTCTTGGTCTTGGATTGTTGGGGACTTTCGCCCACAACAGCCCTTTCTCCTTTCAGGAAAGAACCAGACAGTTCAAAGTCACGGCTATCAATTCAGCTAATTTATCCTCCTCGAACGGAAGCAAACAAGAAGCGATCAAGGCGCCAGCGCCAGCACCTGGGTTGGACGGTGTTTGGTATTCTGAACTCTGGAAACCAACATGTGCAGAATTTGACTCTTCTGGTATTCCCAATAAGTGTCATAGCACGGAGGTATGGCGCCTTCCCACACCAGTGAAGTTCGCACTGAACAGTGTGATCTAATAAGGACTTTCGGCGCAGTTCCGGCGCAGTCATTGAACTCACGAAAAGCCTTCGAAACACGCCTGTCGATATAGAGGGATGGGTTCGAAGGGCTACTGAGCTTTTGCGCCTGGGGTACCCGGACCTAGCAGCTGGTGATGCCTACAAAGCCAAATTCATCGTCCAGCAATTACTCCAGGGACTTTCCGACAAGCGTACAGAACTCCCGATGGACCGAAGCAGGAAACCCTTCGTCCCTGAAACGGAGTGGCATAGGGACGTGTACCAGAGGCTGATAGCTGCTCTCCAAATGACAGGAGACCATAAAGGCCTGCTAAAAATCTGCAATGAAGGAAAGGGACGATACCAAGGTAGAGGCGAAGCGGTCTTCGGCTCTGTGAGCTTTTTTGACGAAATCTTGGAAGCGGAGGCCGCTCGTATCAATCTGGCAAAATCGACGATCGAGATAGATCAAGTCAGCCGCGAAGAGACCATGTCATATATTGAATGTGGGAACATTCGACATTTGCCTTACCCCTTCGTCCCTAAGAAGATTCTAAGGCGTGGAACGGATCTCTTTGAATCGACCCAGACCCTTTTTAGGAACGCATCTTCAACTTGCATGCTAGCTCATAGCCCGATTGCATATTCGTCGATTATTCCTGACGACAGCTCATCTAACGTCCTCGGTGTCTTTGCAACACGAAACATACATTTCGCTGAACGCCTAGTCGAGGATACCACGATACTTGCAGCGTGCACAGTCAGCACTACTGCTCCAGCAACGCTAAAGTCAACACCAAACTCGTCTCGGATATGCGAAAATTGTTACGGTAGTATACCCACACAATCAAGACAGCATGTCTTATCGAAATGCTGTAACACACCTTATTGTAGTGCACGATGTCGAGATATGGCACTTGATTCTTACCATAAAGTCCTATGCGGTCAGAATTTTGACTGGGTGTACGAAGAATCGAGGGGAAAGCAATGGCGGTTTGTCTTGAACGGGCCTATGTGGCTACGCATACTTGCTGCATGTGTGCAGAGCAACTGTCACCCATTAGATCACCCCTCGATTGCAAGACTCAGGCCATTGCACGACAAAAGCCGCAGAATTTGGACACTCTCTAATAACATCAGTACCCCCATCAGAATACTAAACCAACTAGGCATCAACCCCATAGAAGATTTCCGCTACGATACTTGGGTACTACAAACCATCTGGACCCGCGTCATCAACAATCAAGAAGAGCACACGACACCGGACGGCCGTCAGGTGCGAGCAATCAGTCCACTATACTCGTTTTTCAATCATAGCTGCGAACCGAACACCGGATGGAGTCCCACTGATAGCTGTACATGTACGAACGGAAGCACCAAAGACATCTTTGCAAACCGACATATCAGCAAAGGGGAAGAGCTCTGCATTACCTATGGCGTAGTCGCCGGGCATAAGAGTAAGGCCGAACGGCAGAAAGCGATACAGCCATGGATCGGATGGGATAAAGAATGTGGATGTACCAAATGCCAGAGGGGAGATTCCGATGAGCGGAAAGTGGAGCTGCGACCAGTGGGCCCCAATGTTTCGATGTTTCAGGGCGTTCGAATCTACCGAATCTGATCTTCTCTCAAACTCTCAAGCGTCAACACGCTCTTTTGCTGGCGAAGTTTATTAGTATCCCTTCGACTTCCAACTCACATTTTCGGTATTCGTTCGTCATGAAGAGAATCAAAAACTAAGATAATATCAGAAAGAGCCATGCCAGGCTCCAGGTTGAGCTCCCTAGCGCCTTCCCGCTGTTTGAAAATCCTGAACCCGCTTGCCTCAGCATCCTTCACATCAACCTGGTGCTCAAAAATGCATGTGCCATGCGACCCTCGTTTGATGACTTTCATATTGCGATCAGGAACGAGTCCAAGGATGAATTCTCCCTCTGTCTAGACCACCTCTTCCCTAATTTTCACTTCCACATTTCACGCTCTTCTGAATCATGTCTAAACCCCCATGCGTGTCACTACAACAATGAGCCTTTCGCATCAGGACAGCGGATCCAGCACAGTGCAACATTTCTCGGCTTTTACCAGCTGATAGCTCTTTTTAAGGTTGGGATCCATTGCATCTTCACGGCCGAGCAGGCGTGGACCTTCACTACGGCTTGGTTTGTGCTGCCACACTTGCGAATGATGGTTACTTAGGATAATGTTGAACGCTTCAACGATTCTTTGATGCTCTCTGTGCGATGGTATATATTCAAAGGATCATCTTGTCGCTCTCGTCTGTATCTGACTTCCTTCTTTTCCTGTACCTGCTCGATGGCCTTTGTTGGAGTATCAAGACAATGCATGAATACTGTATTTCAGTACTCTGGAGAGTGCTAGGAAGATGTCACTAAAGGAGTACTTTACAGCTTCCGATGGCGCTAGGAGCGTGAGGGACAGAAAAGCAGTGCATGCAGGCTTCGAGACAGAGACGTATCAGGTAACACAGTTTTAGTATTCAAATTACGAACACTGCTATAAATTGCAAAACCCAATCCAATCCATGTAGATAACGAATGGCTGGAAAATAACAATAAGAGAAGCATGTCATTCTAGAACGAAAAACTCGATGCTTATTGCCGTTTTGACATATCCTTCACCGCTCGATCGATCTAATGACATCTTCTCCGCGTCTGATCAGTCCATCAATTTGTCCCCACAGCTCGCTCAACCTCCACTCGTTCTTCCTCAAGTATCAATCAACATCTCTTTCCTCACAACAAAGCCATACCGAGAAGTGTGGACATTGCAACAACGAGACCGCAAGCCATGACGGGAGCGGAGTCGATCACACGCCCATCTGCTGCTGATTTCTTGCTTCCAGAGGTGCTCGTGGAGGTGCTGGTGCTGGTGCCGGTAGCAGCGACAGAGGATCCAGAAGCAAAAGCAACGGAAGCAGGACCTGAGTTCTGGGAACCACTGCCAGAGAGACCAGGGGCCGTGCCTGCGCCGTTCTTGAGGTATGTGGCCGCGGCTGAAGGGAAAACGGGGAGTTCGGAGCCAGTCGTCACGTTCCAGTTGCTGTCTTGTGTTGGGCAAATGGCTGGGGAACCGCTGGGCCTGTATCCTCCGCTTCCGGTAGGGCTGGGAGTGTTAGAGAACGCAGAAGCCAGGGTGCCGAAGTCGGTCAACTCTGTAATACTGTTGCCGTTGATTTCGACAAGACCGTAAAGATCTGCAGGGGGGGCTGTGCCTTCTTTGCTGTATTCATAGGCCAGACCACCGGAGTAGCTGGGCGTCATTTGCGGGCCGTAGAGAGTTGCGATTTCCTGGAATTGGCGGGTCGTCTTGACGCAGCCATATTCTGAAAGAAAGAGCGGAATGGAGAAGTTGGCAAAATAGGTTGCCTTTGCTTGCCAGGTGGAACCCTCAAAAGACGAAGGGTCACACCAAGAGTAGTCGTTGTAAGCGAAGAAGTCACTACGCGCCATGGCGTCGTCACCGCAGTTCATGAAATCGGCGGTTTGATAGATCAACGTGTCGACATCGGCGGCAGAGTAGCCGACAGGGATCGAGCGATACTTGCGTGCACTAATGTAGTTCTTCATGTCACGCGTGACGGCCTTGACGTATGGGGCAGATGATGTTGTTGCTACGCTGTTGATATCCTCATTACCGGAGAAGAAAAGCAGGGTGTTGCTGTACGTGTGGAATGCGTCTATGGTGGAGAAGACGCTCTGGAGGTAGTCGGCATTGTATGACGGCGCTGGATCGTCCTGGTTGATCGAGTATTTGGGCGTGTTCACGTCCAGTGCAAGATAAATACCAGCAGTTGCAAGAGCCGACATACAGGCATCATGGTTTTGGCTGTTGTCGACTGTGTAGATACGCACGGTGTTGATCTTTAGTTTCTGAAACCTGTTTCCCCTTATCAGCAATGCTTCGAACATCAGATAATTCTTTTGCTTACTCGGTGATGTCTCGTGTGCAGGTGCTCTGGTCAGCAATTGGGTCAACAGCACCGGAGGAGCCGCCTGAGCGCGATTTGGTCAGTGTTGAGATAAAGGTGAGGATTTAGGTGATGGCCAACCTGGCTGGTAATCGACACCACGAATATAAAATCGATTGCCTCCAGCAAAGAAGGCTTGAATCTGGGTCAGTGTTCGCTATCCCTGCAACAAATGGACGCGATCCTACCATTTCCTTGAACAGAGACCGAGGCGAGCGAGGACGCTCTTTTGAAGTAGTGAGGGACTAGGCTTGCAGACGCGGTGGTAGCAGTGAGAGCCAGAGCAATAGCATTAATTCCCTTCATTTCGATGGATGGATGGTATTATATAGATAGAGGGTGAAAGTGGATAGAAGTTGTTGGGATGTTGTTGATTGAGCGGAACAAAGAAAGTGCTTGTAAAACCGAACCAATTGTGGAGGGAGTGACTGTGGCGTTATTGATCAAATGAGCTGACCGCGTGAACGAGTGAGCGGTATGAAGAAAGAAGTGAGAAGAAAGAAGAGCGTCGTGGAAGAGATGGATCTGTTGAAGAGAGAAAATTAGAAAAATTAGAAAATTGGGAGAAGCGTGTTTGAAGGATCTTGAATTTCAGGGGAAGGAGTTCTGCCAAGATTTCACACGCTAAGTAAATGTTTGCGCACCTCACTTTGTCAGATATGGCAACGATTCGCCCCACCAGCGCCCTTCCAAAAATAGAACAATTATTGATATACACCAATAGATGATAATCATGATAGGGGTCTATCATCAAGATTAAGAGTTCACTGCAGTCTGCAAGTCATAGGCGCCTCGGCACCACTTTCTTGAACGATGCGAGTCTCCTTATCTTTACAGCTGCAATCTCCTCTGCTTTGCTACTCTGCCTCTCTGCTGCATGCCCCAATCTCAGATAGATTCATGAATACCTACTCTCCTCGAGGTGACAGGCAACGCGCTGTAGCTCCAGGGGAGAGATTTGGCTCCAGTCAGAGTACCTTCATACACCGCGGGAGCGGCAGAGCGTGAACGAGAAGTCCGGTGCCATTGCTTGAAGGAAATAACTGTTCCTGAGGGCTATTGCCCATACGAATCAGCTGTGGGCTCGACGAGTATAAGCTCTTTCTCAGCATTCAGGGTACTGCCGTTCCCTGGTACCTTGGTGCCTTTGTGTTGTGTCTCCTTCTACTATAATCGTATAGATAAGCATCCTGTCATGTTCATGTGTGAAGATCATGCTTCGCAATACCTCACATCAATCTAGAAATTGCAAATGTTCGGCATCCGACACACCATCAAACAAGTCGCCAGGGATGCTTTTAAACCTCAGCCCATGCTAAGAAAAATACCAGTAGCGGGATTACAAGGCCGCGCCAGATTTGTATGGGGGTCACACCAAAATAAGGCGCGGCCTCGTAGCAACCTCGCTGTCACTATCACACCGTCGCTAGATCTCGCTATTACCGATAAGGCTATTCGTACAATGGAGGCTCTCCGCCTTCCCGAGATATATAGGGCGGAAAGGAGACTCGCCGCCACCGGAGCTGGGGATTTTCACGGGGAAGAAGACTTTATCGGTGGTGTTGTCTATGTAGTCTAGTCTAATCCTCTTCACTCCATCTCACTGGCGCCTCTAGCCGGGCTATGTTATACCCATCGCCGGCGAGCTTCTTTAACGTAACATCGCCACCCACTGGGCGGAAATACGCTCCCTTACATCGTTCTCCCAATCCATCGTACTCGCCTCTAAATCGTATACCCAGAAATTATCAATCAGAGGTCAATACGCGTTAAACTGCTCGGGCGTCCATTTGATAAGTGTTTTCAGCGCAAAAACAGCCTCACGAGTCGCCGGAGTATCCACGGGCAACTTCAGCATTGTTGACGCGACCTTCGAGGGTATCATAGGCGCGAGTTTGCTGCGTTTGGTCCCCTTTCGCGGCTCTTTCTGCTCATCAAGGCTGATAGAGGCCTTCCGCTTGATAGGGGGGTGGTAGGAGATAGAAAGGGTGTTGAATGGTGGCGACGGCAATCTAGACGCGTCAGAGTACCGCGACTCCACTCAGCATCACTAGGGTTACTCTTCTCCTGCAGTAGGGCCATATCGTCTTCCGAGAGAACCTCTGGCAGAGGACGATCCCGATCAATGCCTTCAGGATTGCTGCCGTACCAATCCAGCTTCTCCTGAGTATCCTCGAAGCCCCCGTATTGCGGGGGCTGGCGAACGACGCGAGAGGTTATAGTGGGCGGGGCGGGGCGGAGTTGTGGATAGCTTCAAAAAAATTGGTGGGCGATAGCGAGGTATGGAGAAGAAGAGTGCAACAGGTAAGGAGGGCTGCCAAATTACTATGGGAGGGCCTTACTAATCCGGCGGGTCGGCCTAATCATTCTCCGGTAATATTACCGTGGGGGTGGGCTGAGGTTTAAAAGCTCCCGTCGCCAGTCCAACCCTTGCGATATCCGAACCAAAGCCATGTCAAGACCGGTGTCTGAGCGCTAATTACAAGTCTTCACTTTCATCTCTGGTATCTCATCATGTCCTTGATCGCAACTGATTGCCGCCATATACCTATATGATGCTTTCTATCTTGTTATCGCTGTCTTTCATGCATGCGATTTAGCTCCCGTGACGGCTAACCCTCTTGATCCTTCACTTAACATTGATATACCTGCCTCATCCATGGCTTCCATCTACCGAAATCCCTCTAACTCAGCGTCTGCGTAAGTCAACCTTATCTGTTTGCTAGGTCTTAACCGGTGCTCAGGAATGACACCAATATCGTAACATTGTTCTGACAGCAAGCTTGCATCCCCTGAGGGAACTCTTATGGCCGACCAGGCACGTGACATACAGTCTGACTTTCGACCCTCTCCCTCCAGCGCCGTTACAATTTTGCATTCCAATCACCACTCTCGTACTGCTCGTCTCATCTAACGGCAGAACCCTCGACCTCGTCGATTTCGATTTCATCTTCCTCGATGCCACTCGCCGGACTATGATGAATTATGTAAGTTAAGGACCTGTCTTGATCGGTTCCATTCCTCTGATCTACGACTATCGCGATGTGGTTATTAGGATTACTACGGCAAGTAGACGTATGACTTTTGGGTATTTGGCCTGGATGCTGGAAGGATGGCTGCAGATGGTGGCCAAAATATTGGTATTGGCCGGAAAAGATAGCCCTGCAGGAGCAGAACCGTAAATTGCTGGCTATAGTGACAATTGAGGCCTAAGGATTAATAATTTATGGGCATAGTTGGGAAAGTGCAGGCTCAGAGCAGCTAATAGAAAGGAGAACATTCGATTGCCTACGTGAGAGCCATTAGTGGTCCATAACTGCGGAGAAATTAATATGGCAAAAGGAGCAGTACCAATATAATGCAGCAGAAAAGTTGTTAATATGTAAGACAATCTTTATGTATTTGGCAAGATTTGATGATATTCCACTGTCGTAAGGTAGGCGGATGAAATTGCATGTGGTTAGAGCAACTAGCTTATCGATAAGAATTGTGTTTACTCACTGAAAAGCTCAAAAGACGCGTCCCGCGCGACTTCCAATCATAATCCTTCCGCTTCCAAGCTACTCTGCCACAATCTTGCATCCACACTTTGTGATACATAGAGAGCTCCACAGTGGCCAGCATGACAGATGCACGGTAACATATCCCTTCTTGCCTCTCAATCCCGATATGATGGACCTTCAGCTCACTTTTGCTTACCAGCTTTCTCCATGACCTGGCGGTCAAATGCAAGCCTGTCGCGACCGCCAAACCCACGACAATATGGGTCGCCATCCTTCGAATTGACAAAGTGCCTAGTGAAGACAGCACAGAGGAGGATTTTCTTTGGATCAAATGCCACTCAGTAAGTCTATTGCAACTTTCCCGTACGAGCTTCATGGCCTCCAATGCACTGTATTCCGCAATCACGCCTTCCTCTAGGACATCTGGCCCTTTATGTAAGAACTTAGCCAGACTTAACACTGATGTGTTGTTAGAGGATCGAAACAAAGACCATTCGTGATCAATACCAGCTGAAATGCCCGCCATGCGAACGCTGGGTCCTGAAGCACGAGTCTAAATTAGCCAACCTCACTGCGACAATGGCAGATCTTGATACGTACATGGACAAAGTCATCGTCTTCGAGGCAATCAAGGCTTCAGACGCCAGTCATCAGGTCACTCGTCAGCCTCTCCAACCTACCAACGCACAAATTCCCTCTCCTACCAGAAGATCTTCGCATAAAGCTGCAGATATCAAACCGAGCCTTGACGGCGCGTCAGACGAGAACCATACCCCACTATCCCACTCTGCGGTCAGAAATCGCTTGACTCCTCACTCGGGGGCCACATCCCCATTATCGACATCCGATCATGCCGGCGGAAGTGTCGATATGGCTGGTTTCGATCGGTACTATGCCGATTTGCATGACAGAATTCAGGTGTCGTACCCTGATTACAGTGACGGTACGCATATCCTCGTGTTTTGAGTGCTGAATATGATTGACTCCTGAATGCAGGACAACTCCACGACGCTCTTCGCCGGATTTGGATCAATGAGTCTGAATCTGAGAGAGCCAATTACGCTGCAAAGCCAGTCCCGTTCGATCACCGAGTCCACGGCATCAAGACTGAGCCAACTGCGGAAACAAAATTTCACGAGACGCCTCCCTTGGTTGAGCCTCCATTATCTGCTGCTGAACTCGAAGAGCAGAAGCACAAGAGCTTCCAGCTTCAAACGCTTCTCAAAGATGCAGGACCCAGGATGCTGGAAGCGAGTGTAGAGCAGGGTGTCAAGCTTCTTGATCAGCTCAAAGATCCTCTGCTCAACAAGATGGAAACCAGCCCCGATGCTGAGCAGTGGATCCAACAAATTGACAATCTCATCAAACAGGCTGTCAGAACCAAGACTGTCATTGGTGTTGTTGGAAACACTGGCGCCGGAAAATCTTCAGTGATCAACGCCATGCTTGACGAGGAGAGACTTGTACCTACCAACTGTATGAGAGCTTGTACGGCAGTCGTCACTGAAATCTCGTACAACTATGAGGAGAAGCCATACCGTGCGCAGATTGAGTTCATATCGCCCGCCGACTGGGAAAAAGAACTTAATACTTTATATCAGGATCTCTTGGACGGAGATGGCAAAGTCTCTCGAGATTGTGCGAATGAGGATACTGACGCCGGTATCGCGTATGCAAAGATAAAAGCAGTTTATCCTCGCAAGACCAAAGAAGACATAGCCAACAGCAGTATCCAAACTATGTTGCGAGAAGTATCCCATATCCTCGGTAAGAGTAGAGATATTGAGGAGAAGGATTCGCTCGTGTTCTACAAGAAATTGCAGACTTTCGTTGACAGCAAAGAGAAGTCTACCAGCAACAAGGACAAAGACAAGAAAGAGCGCAGAGAGATGGAGGTGTGGCCATTGATTCGAGTGGTCAGAATCTATGTCAAGTCTCGAGCACTTGCTACCGGTGCTGTCATTGTGGATCTCCCGGGTGTTCATGATGCCAATGCTGCCCGTGCCGCTGTAGCAGAAGGTTATATGAAGCAATGCACTGGACTGTGGATCGTGGCTCCGATCAACCGCGCGGTGGACGATAAGGCAGCCAAGTCGTTGCTTGGGGAGTCGTTCAAGCGACAGCTGAAGATGGATGGGGGTTTCAATTCAGTCACCTTCATTTGCAGCAAAACAGACGATATTAGCCTCGAAGAAGCACAGGACTCACTTGGCCTGAGCGATGAAATGGAGCCCGATTGGGAAGAGCTGGAAAAGCTTGTGAAAAAGACCAAGTTAATGAAGAAGCAGATGGACGAGATGAAAGACACAAAAGCTGTTTACGGTGAATCCATGAACGACATCGACGAGCAAATAGAGATCTGGGATGGCTTGAAGGAAAAACTTGAAGGTGGAAAGACCGTCTTCCCACCCAGATCGGAGTCTGCGGGCAAGAAAAGAAAAGGCAAGGGCACTGACAGAGCCCGCAAGAAGCAGCGGAGAACGAAGTCAAGCGACGACGAAGGCGACGACGTTGAGGAAAGCGACTACCACAGTGATGACTCGGACGAATATGAAAAAGGGTCTGAAAACGAGTCTGAAAGTCAAGAACCATTGACCGAGGAGCAACTAGTGGCAAAGCTTCAAGAGCTTCGCGCAACTAAAAAGGAAGCCCGAGCCCAGAGAGGTGAGATTACGGAGCGTATCAACCAAATGCGAAAAGAGATCGACGAAAGTAAGAATGCTGAAGAAAAGATCGAGAGCAAAATGTCTGCGATGTGCATTGAGGGAAGGAACGCATATTCCAAAGGCGCCATCCAGCAGGATTTTGCCGCTGGTATCAAAGAGCTCGACCAGGAACTTGCCGCTGAAGAGGACGAGGAGAACTTCAACCCCGATGCTGAGATCCGAGACTATGATGAAGTTGCCCGGGGATTACCCGTCTTCTGCGTCTCCTCTCGTGGCTACCAGAAGTTGCAGGGTCGCCTTCGGAAGGACCCTCACATAGCCGGATTCACAAACATTGAGGAGACCGAGATCCCTCAACTGCAAACTCATTGCGAAAAGCTAACGGAGACGGGCCGATCAGCCAATTGTAGAACTTTCATCAACAAGCTGAGCCAGCTCCTGAACTCATTGACCCTCTGGGCGTCCAGCGATGGCACTAGCGCAAATATGACCGCCGAACAGAGAGCAAGAGAAGCAAGATACTTACATAAGGGGCTGAAATCGCTTGAGAGTGTAAGTGCACGGGGCCCTGATTCCATGTACAAGTAGGACCTCCTTCGCATTTGTCTTGTTTTCTGCATGATGGTGGAAAGGAAAAGAAAGAGGGTAGCAAGACATTATATTTACCACGGAAAGCATCATAGCTGTACGGTAGAATTGCTTGAATCATCGCTAATGCATCAAAACTTCAGGGCCTCGAGACTGCCGTCAAGACCGCTTGCAAGGAACTTGGTGATGAATTCGCGGACAACATCTACGACAAATACGGTAAGTGTGCGAATTGCGAGATTGTGGATACAGGCCTGACGGAGACCGCAGAAACCGCAATTTCGAATGCCGCGAACGATTCAATCGCGACTGCTCTCAAATGGGGGGCACCTGTCAATCGCGAAGACCGTGCAGCGGGTGGACTCCACTGGAGCACCTATAAAGCCATTTGTCGACGTAACGGAATCTATACGAATGGTCAAGGACCGCATGTAAGTCATCGCTTGTCCATTTCTGTGAAGTAAAACAACGCTAAGTCATTATTTCCTAGGAATGGAACGTGGAGCTGTAAGTACTGAAATTAGGAACTCTTAAAACTTTCTGCTGACAGTTGTTAGCGCTGAACCTATGATGAAACTGCTCGCTTCTGGATGGGAGAAGTAAGTCGCTCCCAGAACACGGCTGTTTCCCACTTTGTTGACAATAGAAAGGGCCTTTTCACGCCGCTCTCCAATGGTGATGGCCAGCTTCGCCCGCAATGCAGCTGCTTCCCTGAAAAACTTTCATAAAGACATCGAGGCCCGAGCTCGTCAAATAGGTACAGGCATCGCCGGCGTCCACATGTTGCAGCAGCAGGTCGGAAACTACGAGAATCTCCTGAAGGACCTCTCTGCGACTGTGAAGGATATGATCAATACTAACCAAAAGGAGATCAATCGCGAGTTCGTTCCAGTCATCGAGCAAGCGATGGCGGCTGCTTATGAGGCATGTGTCGAGGAGCGAGGTGAGCCCTGACCTTCCTACCGGACTGACCACTGGCTAATTGCGAAAGGTACCGGGAGCTTTGCGCGTATGAAAGCAGCAATGAATAGTCACGTCGCCCAGGAGCGCCATACCATGTTCCAGTCGAGCGCTGAGAACGTCAAAACCCGGCTGAGTGTCATGCTCAAAGAGCTGGAAGTGTACATGAACGATAAAGCTGACGAAGTGTACATTGCGATGCGACGCGATTACAACTCGGTTCTGGGCGGCGGTGAAGTACCTCAGAATGGCGAGATTTTACCAAAGACGCAACGCCTTGTGCGTAAAGAGATGATGCGTATCATCAACGGCGTAGAAAAGGTATTTCAGAAGATTGCTGGTTTGGAGGTCAAAGATGAGGATGATGAGGATAATAATAATGTCGCTCACAGCAGTGACGATGAGGATGGAGGCCGTGTTGTTCGCAAGAAAGAGGAGGGTGAAAACACCAAGGTTAAGAGAGAGGCGAGTCCATCCAGGCAGCTTGAGGATCAAGCCTCCCTCGACGAGCCAATGGCAGGCCCAGACTCTGATTGCGAGTCAAAAACGAAGCTGGAGAGTCCCGAAGCCCAGGAGCGATTGGACGGTCTTGTTCCGGTCGACAGCGGCGATTCAGAGGGATCGGAGAGCTCTGATGGTTCCGGATCGAGTTGAGGCTCCTCACCTCTTTGGCTTTTACACCTAAGCTTTCTGCTCTCGGCCCTTCCTTCCCTGGGACACTAAATACACTGATTGCTCTGTATGTGTCTGCTCCGATCGATAGCTGGACATTTCAATTCATGCTTCCACGAGTTCCTAACATCTCGATGCTAGCGGCTTCTTGTCAATAGAAATTATTATTTTCCTAATTACCAATTTAGGATAAGGCAGATTAATACATAGATCGAACAAACTGCAAGGTATTTCGCGCTTCGTTGAACATGCAAGTGATGGATTGACTTCAAGTGGACGCACCTCAATCCTGCGCTCCAGCAACCCAGGAATAGAGCCTACCCTAATTTGGTACCAACCATCTCCCAAAGAAATCAACAGCTTGGTCCTCTGCCATCTGCCCGCGCCTCTTCTCGTCTTCGTCTCCTGGGTTCCCACGAATGGCAAATCCATGCCTCGCACCCTCCACTACATTCATTTCGAACATCTTCCCCCTTTTCCCATCGGGATTCAACTCCAGTTCCTTCCTCGCAAAGATCTCCTCGATCATCTCGTTTCCCTCGGGCTTGAGCTGAAAATCCTCCGACCCATTACTAATACACAGCGGCAGCTTTACCGCTTCGATATCCGTCGGCAACACCAATTGGCTGGGATGTGCGGTGAAGCCGCAATCCAGCAACGGCTTGCCGGACGATGTTTTCTCGCTGTCCTGACAGAGCAGCGTGACATACTTCCCGCCCCAACAGAACCCGGCGGCGCCCATGGGCAGGGAGGTGGACGAGCGGAGGGCGGCGAAGAAGGCGAAGATCCGAGGTTTGCAGACGGAGGCGCGGCAGTGGTAGAGGGCAAAGGGCATGTGCGTCATGGCCCGCAGGCCCGGGAAGATCTTGTGGAGGACGGGCGTCCCGGCGTCGGTGACGGTGGAGATGGTCGACAGGAGTTGCGGGTCCATCACGTATCCTACGCCGAACCCCGAACCGTCAGCAAGACCGACGACAACCCCCCCCCCCTCTCTCTCTCTCTCACCCCTCTGCGCGCCCATCGACACGCCGGGGTTCCGTACCGTCCATGAAGTCGGGCAGGTACACCGTGTACCCCCCCCTCTCCGCGTAGCGATCGGCCAGCACGCGCGAGTTGTTGAGGGTCCAGCCGAAGACGTCGGGTATGATGACCACGATGCCCTTGGCGGCCACGCCCGAGGGGGGATCGGTCACGTAAGTCTTGAAGCCGTGCATCGTCTCCTCTCGGCCGGACGGAGTCCCTTCGTGAAGGACGCCGGAGGCGCAATCTTTGCAGGGCATTGAGGCGGCCATTGATGCAGGTAGGGTTGGACGGACGAGGGTGGTATGTGGTGTTTGCTTTTGTTTTGTTTTGCAGCCAGCGAAGAGGGTTGATTAAAAAGGGAAGACCCCTCGGACCCTCGGGAGCTATTTTTCAGGACTTAATTTAGCGTATTCACAACCCTCGACCCTTTCGAATCCTTGGCGTCACGCACCCCACAGATCTAAATAATCAACCTCACAGCTATAATTGGAACTGTCGGATTTCCTATACATAAATCAGACTCATTGTCGCTGCGACTTTAGAGCCGCTAGAATAGAAAGAGTTTTACAAGAAAATGATTCATCTATAGATTTAAGAGGAGAGTGAAATGATTCCCGAGCAGCGAAATCGACAGCTTCTCTTTTTTCCCGGCTTCTAGATACTTGTAAACTGAATCTTTCAAATCTAGACCTCTTATTTACACGACTGTTATCCAACACTCCAACGACCCTTTCGCCCTCAATCTTTTCAAATCCCGACTTGGATTCATGAAGCTGATAATCCGGATCCATGAGATGCGTACCTCGGTAAGTAGGACCTTCTGATGCCAAGCATTCGAAAGGATTATGAAGACGCTAAACGCAGGGCGGAGGTTGTCATCTCCGGCCTGCCAGAAGCAGCGAAGGGCATCCATCAGCCTACCGTACTTTACTCCTCTCACATCCTCATCAAAAGGAAGAGCAATCCATCCATCCCGCGACCCTCCCTCGGGCAATAGATGTCACCGCGGCATATGCAACGAGTACGGGTACGGGGAAGGAGCGTGCTCGGCTCCGCACGCACCTTCCTGCTGCGATAACAGACGAGCGCTTTGGAATCTTGCTTTTCTGATGCCAAGGCGAAAGGTTCCTATCTCCCACCACAGCGTCTCAAAACTACCATCGCACCAATAATCAAAAGCTACATTCAATGGTGTGCTCCTACACCAACGTCCAACCTGACACCGAATCCGACCCTTGACCCATCCCATCCCATCCCATCCCATCCACCATCTCCCCCCCCACATCTCCTCCCGCAAACCAAAAAAAGCAGCCTAGCCGTCTACACCCTCTCCATTCTCCAACCAACCCTCCACCCTACGCGCGACCCTTCCCGCCCCTAACAAACCCCCCCCCCCCCGTCTCCTACCGCGGAACCCATCCGCCAGCGCCGCGCGCATGCCCTTCTTCTACCGGAAGAACTGGGGCGGGAAGCATTTCGGCGGCGGCGTCGTCGTCGACAAGCACGGCGCGCATCGCCAGCCGTGGCGGTTGAGGCTGGGGAGGTTCAGTTGCTTTAGGTGAGGGAGGGGGTTTAAGGGGTAGGGGTAGGTGAGGGGTTGGTGGTTGATGGTTGATCGGAACAAAAAAAGGGGGGTTCTGGGGATGGCGTGGTGAAATGACCGGTGTAAGGGATTGGTGGGAAGGGTTTCGGTGTGTAGCACGAGCGTTGAAACATCTTTTTGGAGGAATTGGAGGGAAGAGTGCAGTGCTTGGGTGCATAGGTTTTGATGGCAGCGTTTCTGCCACATGAAAAGCATGAGCGATGGCTGTGGATGAGAAAGCCTTAGGCGTGGGTATCGATAACGCTTATTATATTGCCGTATGACCGCCCAGAGTCTAGATATCATGCGTCCTCAACGCCATCGCCATGCCTGAACCTGTCCGTACCCAGTACAAAGTGGTAAAAGAGTCTACTCGTCGTCACTAGTCTCAACGATTTCTTCCTCTAGCCTGATCCGAAGTCAGTGTCTGCAATCGAACCGGGATGGCGAAGGAAGCATACCGTTTCCGCCTCTCCTGATCCATCTCCCTATATGTACTCCAGCTCAACAAGAGAAAAGCAACGATGATGACCAAACCCCCCACGATGGCGGCAGGCGACAACGGCTTCCCGGTGAGCAGCCAATCCGTCACGGCCACGGTGAATATGGTAAGAAGCGCAGCGACCGAGGACAAAACCGGTGAAGTGAGGGAGATGAGGACGAGGAAGGATCCGGAAAACGTGGCGTTTGCCAGCACGGAAACCAGCAGCATCCACGCCGCTTCACCGTGCGGCCACTCGAACACCTCTATACCTGTATAATGCAATATTGGCAGCGGTATCCACAGCACCAATAGCGTAAAGCAGCCGATCAGACTCCCAAAGGTGTTCGCAAACAACATGCCCCGCCCGGGGCTTGTGCCCTCCGGCGGGCAGGCCAGCTTCTTATACAGCACCTCGTACAGTCCATACAGTACACTGCCGACGCCGATGACAATGTTGCCCAAGGTACGGTTCGAGCTGTCGTCGGGATTTTCACCACCGCCTACCGATCCACCGGATTTACCCCCATGTATGGTCGGCAGAGAGTCTCCGTATACGAGGATCAGGACGCCCGCAATGGCCAAAAGGACGGAGAACGCTTTGTCGAAGCGCAGCTTGTCGTGTAGTAAAGGTATGCTGAAGATGTAGGCCCAAAAGGCGGAGCAGTTGTATATGGCTGTGAGGTCGCTGGCCGAGGTCATGTCGACTGCCACGTACCATGACCCACCGGCGACGGTCAAAGCTGTTGTGATGAAGGCTGTCTTCTTCAAGATGTAGGCAACGGGCGATTTGTGGGATTCGCGGCTCGTAAGGTGTACGTCATGGGATTCGACCATTTGGGCTGTGGTCCGGACGAGATAGATGTGCCGGCGCCAGAATGATTTCCATGGGGTTCTCCAATTCGAGATGCGGAGGATGAGAAGTTGGGTTGGCCAGAGTAATGACCAGGACCCGTGTGTGAGATATCTTCGGTCATAGCAAGTCAGCGTAGCCCGCTTCATAGAGCACAGATGGCAGACTCACAGCATAGCATAAGCCTTATTCCATTTCAATTCGTGCTGAACATAGACCGCCGTTTCGGTCTGAATCGTAAAGCTAACCAAACTCAACACCAAAAAGAAAGCCGCATAAGTATACTTCTTCCTCGTCGCCGATGAATCCTCCATATCTGGACTGCGGCTGCGAAACGTAGATCTTTTCGTGACGAAAGCTGGCCGCGCACTTCCATTTGGGCCGTCATATGAGGATCGCGCTCTCTCCTCTTTCAGCAGCGGCGTTTGGGAGCGTTCATCTTGGGGCCGGTGCAGTTGAGGCCTAGTCTCCCCCATCGCTGCTTCCTCGTCTGAGAAGTCGGAGTCACCCGCGACTCCTCCCGCATGGCTTTGGTCAGCTGGGGCGTTGAAGGCAACACCCAGCTGTGGTCGAGGACTGGCCTTTCGACTCGGGGGAGGTGAGGCTCTCGCTTTAGCCAGCTTTGCTCTGAAGGGCGAAGCTCGTGGTGATGGAGGCCTGGAATGCGGGCTTGAGGATCCAGATGGGGGGGTGACGATGGTGGGTGTTGGTGTACTGGAGGGATAGTTGGCTTCAGTACTGCCTAATGAAGACAACAGACCATTATCTTTTGACATCCATGCAGGTCACGCATGGAGGAGCGCAGTCGCTATTTCGGAGTATGTCGGCTTGAATTCCTCGAGGCTCGGGGGGTGACCTTGCGGCGGGATGATGTCGGCGGGCGCCTGACCCTTGCAATGTCTCGATTTCAATTCAACTCGTAGTACACTTCAACCTCTCATGATCCCTATATCAGCTGGATAATAGGGTCATAAAGTATTCCAATCTTTGTGTGTCCAATGTTCAAACATGCGGCTCTTCAGAGGTTGCTGCGACCCCTGTCT